AGTAGAGTAGAATAGTATCTTTTCAAAGAAAACAGGGCTAAGACCCAAAGGAGGTTAGTCAGCAAAGTCATATGAATTCCAGGTGTGAATAAAGAACCTATAGCAAATCCCACACCAGGAGAGTAATGTCCTGAAGTTTCTGTGCTATTAATAGCAATACAGAAAACATAAATTATCTGAGGATACAGTAAAAGTTTTTATGCATAGCACCTATCATCAGGTGATGGGAATCAGCACAGAGTCCTGGCTAAGTGGGAACAAAAAAGCAAAATCATTTTCATCTGTTCTTCAGGCAGACATCAGAGAAACCCTAATGGACTCATGTAGCTCTCTGCTAGCAGAATTCTCAAAGCAGGAAAATCAGTCACTTTTCCTTGGCCTGGGTGCAAGAACGAGGCCCTGCTCTCCCTGTTGTCCTGGAACTACTACACACCTGAGCAGAATTAAGCAGTTAAACAGTCCTCCAGCTTTAAAGGTACTGAACCCCTCTGGGATTTGAATGCCTTCAGCAGTGTTGAAAATCAGGTCAGAAGATCCTTGGGGAATGCCATCATTTTAGGAGAAATAAGTTGTGTGAAATGCAGGTAAGGATGTGCCTGCCTCCTATTCTATAAATAGTCCTCCTCTTTTTTTTTTTAATCATAGCATCCTAGCTAATAGGTGGAAGTGTCTTTATATATACATATTTACTCATTTGTATACTACAGAATCATAGCGTCCCAGACTGGTTTGTGTTGGAAGAGACCTTAAAGCTCCTCCAGCTCCAACCCCTCCCACAGGCAGGGACACCTTCCACTAGAGCAGCTTGCTCCAAGCCCCTGTGTCCAACCTGGCCTTGAACACTGCCAGGGATGGGGCAGCCACAGCTTCTCTGGGCACCCTGTGCCAGCGCCTCAGCACCCTCACAGGGAAGAGCTTCTGCCTAAGAGCTCACCTCAGTCTCCCCTCTGTCAGGTTAAAGCCATTCCCCTTGTCCTGTCCCTACAGGCCCTTGCCCAAAGTCCCTCTCTAGATTTCTTGTCAGCCCCTTTAGGCACTGGAGCTGCTCTAAGGTCTCCCCTTCAGGAACCTTCTCTTCTCCAGGCTGAACCAGCCCAGCTCTCTCAGCCTGTATCTGCAGAAGAGCTGCTCCAGCTCCTCTATGCATGTGTTTTACATTTCCATCACACCCCAACAAGGTCTTGCCTTTGCCCTGGGATGAGCTGTTCTTTGTACTGACCACTGGGGTGAATCAGGTGCGCCTTCAAGGTGCATTTCCCACCTGGGTGCACTGTAAGCCAAGGAAATAATGACTCCAGTAAATACTTGTGTATCATAAAGGAGGGGATCTTTCATGCTTACTCTGTTGTCCATGCATGGTACTTACCAACATTAGAACGGTGACCCTAATGTGCTTTATAGCATGCTTGAATTTTAAAACATCTCTTCCTAGCACAGCATGATGCTCTGAAAGTTTCTGTAGTGATCTAAGTATGAAACTGTGTTATGTCCCTTGTCATCTCCCTATTATTTCCTATGAAGGATCAATACACCTAAAGATCAGAAAAGCCCAGCCTGCAATCCTGGCTCCGAGTTGCCTCCAATTGGAAGTGTGAGCTCAGCTGTAACCACAGTGCTGCAGCAAACACTAAAAAAAGAAAGCTCCTGAAACTGGGATGTTTTCAGGTTATTCTCAGAGAAGGCAGCAGAGGGTCTCTTTAATGCACAGGGGAAGCTGCAGCCAAAACCAAATCTGTAATGGTTCTGAGTGTGTGTCCTGAGTTCAGCAGTAGCAGTCATTTTTCTCCTTAGTAGTTGGTGCAGTGCTGTGTTTTTGACTTTCAGCCTGGGAACAGCACTGATAACACCGATGGTTTTAGTGGTTGCTAAGTCATGTTTAGTCTGACCAAGGACTTTCTGAGTCTCATGCTTTGCCAGGGAAGAGGGGAAGCGGGGAGGAAGCAGAGACAGGACACCTGACCCAAACTAGCCAAAGGGGTATTCCATACCACAGCATGTCATGCCCAGTATATAAAATGGGAGCAGTCACCCGGAAGGGCTAGATCACTGCTCAGGTCAGGCTGGGTATCGGTCAGCAGGTGGTGAGCGGATGTATTCTCTTCCCTTGTTATTTCCCTTATCATTATTATTGCTGGTGGCAGCAGCAGTGGTTTGTGTTATATCTTAGTTACTGGACTGCTCTTATCTCAACCCATGGGAGTTACGTTCTTTCAGTTCTCCTCCCCATACCTCCGGGAGGTGGGGGAGGAAGAAGTGGGGGGAAGTGAGTGAGCAGCTGTGTGGTTCTGGGTTGCCAGCTGGGCTTAAACCACATCAGTGTAAAACAAAACACGAGGTTGTCAATCAAAGTGAGGAAGAACAGAATTTCCAGGGAGATGGAAACACTATATTAAAAGTAAGCTTTTTGGAGAACACATGGAAAACATTCCTTAGAGATGGACAGAAAAGGGACAAGATGTTGGAGAAAGAATCAGAAGAAACAAAGTAAGATTGTCCTCACAAGGCCACAGTTGTGGGGGACTGAGAGCTCCTCTACAGCTAACACACATGTTGTATTCTCTGTGTGTTGGCCTTTGCCTCACCAAGCAGGGTCTTAGAAAACTGCTGTGATCCACTTAAGATGATCCCATTTTCTTCTAAATGGGCAGTTTTTTCTTCTGCTACAGATTCTTCCCACATATTAAAAGTGAATTTTGGAAGAGCTTTTCAGTGAATGACCATGAAATATAACCAACCATAAGAAAATGAATATGGGCAAGTGCAGAAAGCCCTGTGCAAGCACTGATAGGCAATCAGGCCTGTCAGTGTCCTCCAACACTTTAAAATGTACATAAAACCACTCTTGCTATTACAGTAGAGCCACAAAGCCTCATGATTTGATCGGTCACTGTTTTAGGCAATACAAAATCAGTAAGCAGGAAGTATATCCAGAGTAAGCTGAGTAAGATCTCAGCATAAGTAAATGTATTAAGCACAAACCTGAAGTTGTTCTTGTATGAGGCTGATGCTCAGAACTGAAAAGCCACAATTGCCACCACAGTCAGAAGAGGCTGTAGGGGTTCAGCAGATGCTGATGAAAACTAGAGGCACATTTGGGAACCTCCAAGTGCTTTGTAAGAACTCACAGGAATGGGGAGATCAGGAAGCAGGAACACAGATTTACATATACAGAACATACTTGGACACATACCTATTTTATTTTAGGGTACTTACTGCTCTCTTAGAAAATAAGGTACTAACAACAAGGACTTGCATGTGTATAAAACACTTCAACTATCAATACCTTCCCCTCTCATTTAGGAAAGGATACACAATGAGTAGGTGTGGTAAGGAAGAGCAGGGAATCGTAACTGGGGCAGCCTGTATCTCCTGGAACAACACTGCTTGGTCTTTAGGCCTGCTGGCATCTGGTGGCAGATGACATTATTCACTAACTGCCTCATCTGCACAGCTGCTGCTTTCCCAGGAGACTGCCTGAGCCAGGTGTGAAGGAAGAGTGGTTGCTGCTCCTGCAAGTACAGAACAGAAGAAAAAAGCAATGTGAGAAGTTACATTGCAAAGTGACATTTTCTGGAAGAACTATTTTGAGTAATTGGGGTCTGCAGAGAGCTGTGCATCTCCCAGACTAAAAACACTTACTATGCATCGTACCAGCAGCTGGCAAAGGAGAGCTTTGGGGTTCAGCAGAAACAAATGGAGAGGTACCCACTCCCCCAGATTCATTCCTCTGGGAACTTCAGCAGAGACATCAAAGAACCTCTTTTGGAAACCTCCTGAGCCCCCTCTTAAAAGAAACAAACAAACAGGTTTTATCCATGAGGCTCCTGTGGCAAGGCTATGCCACACTCCCACTCATCTAATGGCAGAATCTTTGCTCCTTCATTTCTGGCTCAGATGTGTTACTGTTCAGTGTATACCCATTTGCTGTAGTGTCCACATAGTTTTCCATCTTACATAGCCTTTTGCTCTTTCAGATAGCAAAATGCCTGTCCTCACAGGCTCCCCAGTCTTTGGGTCACCTTTGTGCTCCTCTGACCCTCTCCAGCCTGTCCACAGCTTCTCTGCATAGCAGGGACCAAAACTACACCCAGTATTCCAGGTGTGTCCTGACAGGCACTGAGTGGCACGATGATATCTTTATCTCTGCTGGTGATGCCCTTGTTAATGCAGCTCAGCATCTTGTTGGGTTTCTTTGCCACAGGAGCACGCTGTTCACCCATATTGAGCCCACCAGGACCCCAGGTCCCTTTCCACAGAGCTGCCCCTAGGCAGGAAGATCCCAGCCTGTGCTGGATTGTGTCTTCCCAGGCACAAGACCTTACACTTGTCCCTGTTGAACTCCGTAAGGTTCTTGTTACCCCACTCCTCCAGCCTATCCAGGTCATCCTGCAGGGTGGCTCTCCCTTCCAAAGAGTCCACTTCCCATTCAGTTCAGCATCACTTCATTGGGGTACACTTGACCCCATCATCCACATCATTTATGAAGGTGTTAAACAACGTTGAGCCCAGCATTGGGGACCCCACTGGTGACAGGTCCAGTTTAAAAAGGACCCTCTTTTCATGACAGATCCAGCTTAGCGTTACTGAAGAGTTTTCAGCACAGTGAAGGAATTAATTTGGTCACAAATGCAAATTTGTGAAATCTAAATAAAGTATAGCAAAAGTCCACATTTTATGGAGTTCCTCCAACATCCCTAAAGACCCTATAAACCAATTCCGCCTTCCTACCCGGCACGTCTCACGGCGGATAAACGACTGCTCAGGACCGAGGGAGGGTCCGTATCCCCGTACCCCGTACCCCGCCTGCACTCCCCACAGCCGGAGCCGCCCCCGTCCGTGTCCCCGGTGGAGCTCCGCCCCTGTCCGTGTCCCCGGTGGAGCTCCGCCCCTGTCCGTGCCCCTGCTGGAGCTCCGCCCCGCGGCCCGGCCCTGCCCGTTCCGCCGCAGCCCGACGGCCTAGGGGTCGGTAGTGAGCCGCCCGCTGCCCCGTCCCGTCCCGTCCCGTCCCGTCCCGTCCCACAGCCATGGCGGCCGCCGCGCTGTGGCGGCTGAGGCGGGCCTTGACGGCGGCTTTCAGCAGCGGGGCGGGGCCCGGGCGGCCGGAGAAGCTGACGGTGCGGCGGCAGGAGGAGGGTGTCCGGTGAGGCGGGGGCCGAGGCCGAGGGAACAGGCACGGCTGCGGGCCCGTCCCCGAGGCGCTGGGTGCGTTTAGTGTTTTGTTGTAGTAACCCTCCTTGTGCTCGTACAGGAACATCATCTTGAACAACCCGAGGAGAAGAAATGCCCTGTCCCTGTCCATGCTGCAGTCCCTCAGGGAGGACCTGCTGCACGACATCAAAAGCAAGGACCTCCGAGTTATTATCATCTCAGGTACTGAGACAGGAGAGAAGGGCAGGACGAGGGGAAGAGCGGGAATGGGGTAATAGAGAATTTAAACCAAAATCTCTCACAGAGTTAGTGTTCAAGCCACGTTGGACAGGGTTTGGAGCAACCTGCTCCAGTGGAAGGTGTCCCTGCCTGTGTCAGGGGGTTGGAACTGGAGGAGCTTTAAGGTCCTTTCCAACCCAAACCAGTCTGGGATGCTATGATTCCAGTTACAGAAAATGGGATGGGAGTTGCATGTTGTTTTCCATACAGCTGGCCAGGAACATGCAGGGGTATCTATCCTTCACCCTTCAGATCTTGCTGTCCTGCTGTTCTTTTATACACACCCCAGTTTCTGCTCTCATGTACTTAATTCCTCATTCTTGAACACGGTGTTAACCACTGACTTGGGTTTTTGTTATGTTTTTGTTGACAATCAACATGTCTAAGAACACAGAAGCACTTCAAAATGTCAGCATTCAGTCAGGTTTTGCAGTGCATTTACAATGAGCTTTTTCCTTTTGTAAAAGCAATCAGGAGGTTGAAATAACTGTGTGTAAAGAATACTTTAAACAGAACAAAACCAGGTTCTAATGGTTCTCAGACTAAAAAAATATCATTCCCAGATACAGGATTTTGTACAGGAATAGGCTGAGCTGGAGTGACACTTGTTGCCTTGTAGTAGGTTAGACGGTAGTAAACAGCTCACATGGTTTCTTCAGTTTGTGTACTCTGTGCCTCAGCTCTAAGCCAGGATCAGCCTCGTCATCTTTGCCACTGGTTTGTCAAAACTGCTTTTAAAACCCCCTGAAGAAGGACAGGCTAGAACACAACACTGCAGTCACCCGTAACCTGCAGATGGGGACAGTCTCTGAGCCTATTCCAGTTTTCTTCCATCTAGGTACTCTCCTGTAGAGTTATTAAATATAATGAAACTTGAGCTGTTCTTAAGCCATTGTTTTTTTCTTCTGCTATTTAAGATAATTTCCCCCTGTCTCTGTTCCAAACATCTTGGGGAAATAGGTTTATTAATTTAGGATGCTGCTGTTTCGTTTATGTAGAGGAAAACACAGTGTGTTAGTGCACACAAACATGAGAATGGAAGTAGCATGAGTTCACCAGGATGAGTTTAAATATATATACTCAACATTTCAAACAGCAGTTACAAATTGTGTGAAACACTTCCTATTCTTCTTCAGGAGTACAAAAGTCTGGGAGTTTGCAAGCACAATTTAAGTTTTTTTTTTTTTTGTATTAATTTAAAAAGAAATTTCATGTTTCTGTTGATTTCCAACTCTCTTGCTGAATGGAACGCAAAAGAAGAAAGAAAATAAAAGGACTTCTCAGGAAATGCTTTGAGTCTTTAACACAGGCTTTGCAGTGGATTCTTCTTCAATGAGGCACAAATGTGGCTGTGATTAATTTCCAGATGGGTATTGGTGATCCTGTGAGCTGACTGTTGTTTACTGTGTGGCTGTTTCTGGATACACAGTGTCACAATAATCTGATTCGTAAGAAACGAGTGCATAGGTTGTACTTGCATAATCGTAGCTGGAAATGTGACATCCATACAGATACCTGAGGAGTTGTGAAGGATTCAGAAGCGTCAAATTGGTTTATTCTCATGGCAGATACCCTCATGCCAAAGGAAAGCTGTTGTAAAGGGTGTTTTACCTTAGCTGCTACTGGAGGCAAGCAAATTCAAAGCTCAGGTCCATGGGAACCTGCTCTTTTGCTGCACAAACCCTGATACGCTTTTTGGGATTCTCTGGATGTCAGTTTTACAGGTGAGGAAGCAATGCCTCAAAAACCCTTCTGGTTCTCCTCCAGCAGAACAAACTTTTTTCCTTTTTTCACTGTGGCCTTGAGTGCTGCGACACAAAAATCTTGATGCTTATTTAGCAGAAGTTAATAATTAATGCTGGGTACAATAAACAGGGACTAACAGTATTTGGGTGAGAGCTGAGCACTCCATCCTTGCTCCAGCTGACTTGTTTACATTGTCACAAGGAGCCGTTAAGAACAGTATCCTTACAAGAAGCTAGACTCATTCTATTATTAACAGAATTGACTTGGAAGGGAAGTAAATCCAGGCTTTAAAAATTGCCTATGGGTGTTACTATGTTTAAATGTTGCAATTTAAAGTTGTTGCTAAACCCAGAAGGCAGTATTTTGGAACTCTCTGTGAACTCCTCCAAGCTCCTTCTTGGCCCTGAGCACCTCATTGACATACTTCCCCTAGGACATTGATACTCCTCTACCCCTGGTTTCTTGATTAAACCAGACTGACTTTTCCTGCAATTCTTTGCAGCTGAAGGACCTGTATTTTGTTCCGGCCATGATTTAAAGGAACTGTCAAGTGAAGATGATGTGAAACATCATTCCCAAGTATTTGAAATGTGTGCAGAGGTAAGCGGTTCCTACGTGCCACCCCTTTGCTGGTATCAAGAGCAAACAATGGTACTGGTTCAAGGAAGGCCAGCATTGCTTATCTGCTACCTAAAGTACAGATGGTTGCTCCAGATTCCTTGCTTTTTGCTGCTCTGCCAGTTTAATATGAGATCCTGGTGAAATTATGAGAATTCCCTGGAGGAATCCAGAGATTAAAAGGGCTAGAATGCCAGAGTGCATGTCTTCTAAAATGGATACAGGCATGCTGTGTTCCTCAGTTCAGCCAGTGTCCCTTGCAGCCTAGTATTTGAGCAATTGTTTCCTAGAAATCTAGGGATAACCACCTTCAAACTACTTGTGATCAAGTGTTCTTTCCCAGCACCTAGCTACTAACCCTGGCAGCTCTGCCTGCGTTCCGTCTTGGTATGCTTGTCACAGAGGTAAGTGCCAGTACAAATGAATTACAGGTTAGGCCCTTCATCAGGAGGGAGCCAAGGTCTGATAGTTCAGCAGCCAATAGTTTATCATTAATTTTGCAGTTGCAGGGCAGAATACCAGCATGTTGTCAGTGCAAAACTGAACCATGCAGCTTCCTGGTCACAGAAGAGAAAAGATGAGGCAGAAAAAGTGTCAGACTTACTCTGTCTGTATAGTGTGCATCAAGAGCTGGTAAATTGCTCACTTTAAGGTCTAAAAGGATTTAAATTCTCCTGTGTGTATATAAAGCACTGCGGCTGTATTAAGTATTAATGAGTAGTAGAGCAAGCTTTAATAAATAAAGAAAAATAGAAAAATGTCAGAATGTCAGATTTAAAGTTAAAACCAAGCCTAGCTATCTTTGTGAGAATGGAGCTCTACTGTATAGTAAATTTAGTATAACAATTTCAGATTAGTATTCTTGAGAGCATGAAATTCAGAGATTGGGAGATACTCAAAGCCCAACTGGACACAGTCCTGGACAACCTGCCCTACCTGAGTCTGCTTGAATAGAGGGGTTGGACTCGGTGATCTTAAGAGGTCACTGCCAACCCAAATGCCTCTGTGAAATTGGCACAGCAAGTTCAGGAAGAAACTAAATGTAAGATATGAAATGGCATTTGAAGTGATCCCTTTTCTGATGTTCATGGTAGGGGTCAGTGCTTTAAACTCTCTACCTGAGTATCCTAAAGGAATTTAAGTTACTCATAAATCACAACTCATTGTTATCACTGTGGAGGAAGAAGGCCTTGCTGTTAAATAATAATGACACTCTACAGGCAACAGAAATAGAGAAATTAATTGAGGCTCTAGTGCAGTAGAACAATTGGCTTTTGCTTTTGTGGTGGTCAATAGAGAAAGAAAGGTACTTCTGAGGCCTTCAAAAATGGGACTGTGTTTTCCTAGATTTCAGTACTTCAGTGGAATGGGTCCCACCCAAATGACATGTCTGCAGCATTGTGGACAGGGGTCCAGAGCACTGGGCTGGTTTTCAGGAACCTCAGCTTCACATCTCCTCTATGATGGTTAATCTTAAGCAGGTCATCTCAGCTGCTCCCCCTCTGTTTTCCCATGCACACAGCAGTGTTTGCCATACTGTATGATGCAGTACCTGAGAACTAAGAACTTGCCACATACAAGCTGGGGACAGTTGAGAATATCACATGTTCAGAAGCTTTTCAAATACACAGTCAGAAGTACCAGGTTGGGGTGTGTGTGTGGGGGGGGTGGTGGTGTGTGTTTGTGTCAGAGAAGGTATTGACTTTGAGTTTTTGCAGCCACAAGAGCACTTTGTACTTGTTTGTCTGCACATGGGCACATACTCTTCTGTTGTCTGCTTCTCAAGATAAACTGAAACTAAACAAAGACAGAACAGAGACAAAGACTGATCAAATTCAGAACAAAATGTAGGTAATTTTACCTAAGCAACATAGAATTTGCTGCTCTCATCTTCACCTACTGGAGATAGCAAATTAATATTTATCCTGGTAAATTGTGCTAACATGAGATTATTTTATTTTAATCCAGATAAGGACTGTAATCATTCAGTCTTCAATCTTCAAGCATTAAAATTAGGGGAGTTTGTTGATTCCAACTGTATGAAAGGGGAATCAGAGTTAGAAAAGTTAAGACAAATTCATCTTCCTTAACTTCAGCTATCTGAAGTTGGATGTCCAACCCTCAAGAATCATCTAAGAGAGAGAACGAGGCCTTTTTCCCTTCTTATGTCTAAATGCAAGCAGGAAAAATTGTTTGCTGTCAGATCTCTTCCTGGATTGAAGAGTAAGTCTAGAAAGACAGCCAGTGATGGTGTTTGGGTGAGACCAACCCAGGCTCAAGATCATGCAGAAACCAACAAGACGCTGGTTTAATTTCTTGTGACGAAGTCAGTTTTCCATTATAGGCAAATGAAGGTGGGGATGGTGTGTCTGGGATTCACATCTTCTCACAGCCAGGAAAGCTGCCCTGTGGTGCAGAGGTACCCAAGCTCCATGCAGATCTGATAACAAGTGTGTCTGCCTCTGATTCTTGGGTTTACCATTTCCACTGGAGTTAGCAGGACCAGCTCATGCTACATAAACCCAGCAGATACTGGTATAGCAGTGGTCTAAATCTGCACACATCAGGTGTGTTTTAGAACAGCCACCATTTGAATTTCCAGGACTAACTGACCACTTTGTTTTGTGCATGCAGGTTATGACTTTAATCCAAAAACTTCCAGTGCCAGTGATTGCGAAAGTGAACGGGTTGGCTACAGCAGCAGGTTGCCAGCTGGTGGCCAGCTGTGACATCGCAGTGGCAAGTGAGAAATCTCAGTTTGCTACTCCTGGGGTGAACATTGGACTGTTCTGCTCCACACCAGCTGTGGCCTTGGGCAGATCTCTTCCAAGAAAGGTAAGCTTCCTTCCCAGATACCTTCTAATTTTGCAAGTAGGTTCCAATGTTAGGAGGTTTAGGTCATAGAATCATAAAATGACTTGGGTTGGAAGGGACTTTAAATCTTATCCAGTTCCAATCCCCTGCCACGGGCATGGATACCTTCCACTAGAGCAGGTTGCTCCAAGCCCCTGTGTCCAACCTGGCCTTGAACACTGCCAGGGATGGGGCAGCCACAGCTTCTCTGGGCACCCGGTGCCAGCGCCTCAGCGCCCTCACAGGAAAGAACTTCTTCCAGATGTCTAATTTAAATCTCTCCCCTGTCAGGTTAAATCCATTCCCCCTTGCCCTGTCACTACATGCGCTTGTAAAAGCCCCTCTTCACCTTTCTTGTCAACCCCTTCTGTGTACTGGAAGCTGCTCTAAGTTCTCCCTGGAGCCTTTTCTTCTCCAGGCTGAACAAGCCCAGCTCTCTCAGCCTGTCTCCACTCTGCAGGAACATCTCCTGTAGAGATGTTCCATTGCCTGGACTTTATTTTGCTATAGTACAACATTGAAAATACTTTGTTGCAAGAGACATCTTTGTCTGGGACTGGGGAAAATCACAAATGGATGAACTCTGCTTAGGGAAAGCAGCTTCCTGCTGGTGTGATTCCAGCCAGCATGAGCTCGCCCCAGCAGCACAGCAGCTCAGCCATCCTTTTCCAGCACACAGCTCTGTGTTTTCGCCAGTGATGTTCTCCCCTGATGAGGAAACCCCTGCAAGTTCAGGATATCAGTGCCACCAAGGTATCAACTCTTGACAGGCAGTGACATTTCACTGCCAGCAGGAGCTGCCTGGGTGTAGATCAAGATGCTTTAAATAGCATCTAAAACCTTCCCATACTTACTTCCTGCTTTATTCCCTACTGATTGTCACTACAGATTTCTCACTGCATAAACAACAGTATGATGATCTGTAAAGCTTCTGTAACTGAGAAAAGGCATTTCCAGTTCTAATGCAGTTGGATTCATGGGGACAGACTCTCCAAGCCCAGCAGGGCTCTGCTGAGATGCAGTGACTTAACTGCCCAACTTCAGTTGCTGGATAAGAGCTTCAACTTTAAATCTCCCATCTGTGAGGCTGTCCTGTTCACATATAGTCTGTCTGTGGGGTTTTGTTCCAAGTCTGCTACAGTGAACAGTCATAATGGTTCCTGAATTGGTATTTCTGTGGTTTATTGTTACCTTTTTTAAACATGTGGGATATACTTTTCTCTGTGCCACTTTTCAAAGGAGCAAGAACATTCCCCACAGTTCTCAGGACGATTGATTTTACCTTATAGAATCATAGAATAGTTAGGGTTGGGAAGGACCTTAAGATCATCTAGTTCCAACCCCCCTGCCATGGGGAGGGACACCTCCACTAAGCCATGTATCAAATGAATGTGTAAATACCAGAGCAAAGATACCAATAAGGATCATCAGCTCTTACAATTCAGGGCATTTAGTAATTACATCAAGAGTGTGACAAAACATTGTTAGTGATATACAAGACTGAGTAGTCACTGAGTATTTGGGGGACATTGTCATTCAAAACCTCAAGTACAAGATGCTGGAAGCAGCAGGAGACTGAGATAGTTAATGGCTTTAAGAAGGACATATTTAAAACCAGCCCTAACCAACTTAAAACTAAGGCTGGTATTTGCAAAAGCTACACATTCACTTAATATATCTTTACTTCTTATTATATGCCCAGCTTAAAATGATGAGTTCATTCATTTCAGTTTATGAACCATCCACATCTCTCAATTCCTACTGCAGTTACGGGCTTTTGAAAAGAAACCCAGAGGTGTCAGCCCAGGACAGTGGGAATCAGTGGGGAGGTTTGAAACAAGCCAGCTTTACACCCAGTCCTCTTTGCTAAAACCTCTTGACACTTCCTTGGCAGCTTAAAGAAGCCAAAAGATTTAAATCTTAAGTTTATCAAAAGAGTAACTTGTACTTGAAGGAGGAGGCTGAAGCTGCCCAAACAAACCAAAGCGACAAAGCAGTTGAACTGATGTAATACAATGTTTTGTCTTGTTCAGGTGGCATTAGAGATGCTTTTCACGGGTGAGCCTCTTTCTGCCCAGGAAGCATTAATGCACGGGCTTGTCAGCAAGGTGGTACCAGAAGACAAGCTGGAAGAAGAGACCATGAAGATCTCTCACAAGATATGTGAAAGCAGCAAATCTGTCCTGGCCCTGGGGAAAGCCACCTTTTACAGACAGATGGCCCAGGACCTCGATACTGCTTACAAAATGACTACTCAGGTCATGGTAGACAATTTGACTTTGAGAGATGGGCAGGAAGGGATTGAAGCCTTTATTCAGAAACGTAAGCCTGTCTGGTCACACTCTCAGGATGAGAAGAAATGAATCTTGTTTTGGGCTAACCTTAGCTGTGCTTTATGATTCTTCACGCAGTTGCCTTTGGAAACTCTATTTTTGTTCTTAATGAAAGTTAAATGCCTCTTCTTACATATGCCAAAGACACAATAAATTTATTCTAAGTATATAAAAAATGTTAGGAAAAATCAAACACAATGTTTTTTTTTCAGCAATGAACTTAATCTATGGTTTTAGAAGGAACTTTGTGCTGCAAAAATCAGTTTAGCATGTCCCAGGTTACTCGGAATCACAGGGACTGGGAGAGAGCCCATATCACCCTGTTCAGTACCTGTCTCCATCATTCTGGAAAAGAATTGCCATTTACTGTTATTAATAGAGACTTAAATGGCTTGGAGACATTCTAGATATGATGGTAATACATATCATGATGGATTCCAGTGCTGTTTAGATGTTACAAACAGAAGCCTGTAACAGTAGCCCATTGATCCCTACAGATATATCTGCTTATGAACTGCAGTATTACTAGTTTGTCTCCCTCAGCAAATCCTGGTTTTCCACCATCATCTCAGTCACTTATCCCAACTTCAGAGAATTTTGCTGTTGACTCCAGTGAGCATGGTTTAGGGGTGTTTAGCTTCACAAAGGACACACTGTGAAAGCCACTGCCTGTCAGCTTCAGCAGAGATTCTCACCTTGGCAGGGTTTTGACCCAGCTGTCATTTACAGGCTGTAAATCTTCAGTTTATCACAGAATCTCAGATGTGTTAGTTGGAAAATCCATCCATGTGCTGAGAGCTATGATTTTACTAACACTGGAGCAGCTCTGCCAAGGATTTATGTTCTTGACAACAGGGATTCAGCTGCTCCTGTGGGTAACCTGTTACAGTGCTGTGCAACCCTCCTGATGAAATATTTTTTCTTAATGCCCAGTCTGAGCCTCAAAGCAGCATTTTTTTTGGCCACTGCCCCCTGGTACATGGTGGCAGTGTGTTCCCCCCCACCCAACCTGACCTTTATTTCCTGTATCCCTGCTCAAGTGATAACCAGTAGTGGTGTTCATAACAAATGTGTCTGGTTGTGATGATTGCATCTGGCTCAAAGTGGATCTGGGGAAACAGGTAACACCACAACGGCCACCGGTTAATTTGAGCAATGCACCCACCTGACTGCAGTGTTGGTAAATGTCCAACTCAGGCCAAATCTGGAAAAAAACTAACTCCTGTAGTCAGCATGTGAATGTGACTATGAGTGAATTATCCTAATCCACAGATACGGAATGGCACAGGTCCTGTGGAGCTCTCCTCCCACAGCAGGATCTCCCCTCTAGTAGGGACAGCTCAACGTCCCTCGAAGTTTAGAGAATCCTCATCACATTGGATACTAAATAATTGAATTGGGAGCAAAAGCACTGAAAAACTGAAGTATCAATTACACTTGTAAGTGATATAAAGGATTAATTGCACATTTATAATGCTTTAGTCATAAACTGTTGACCAAGTCTGCACTTAGATTCCCCTCTGAGAAGGATATTAGAAAGCAAGGGGATCCATCCTGAACCTCCTGACTCAACAGGAGGGGCTCCCTGACTGTTTTATCTCACCCTGTTCTCTATGCAGTAAACAATCAAGTGTACATTGCCATGAAATCTTGTTAAACCACTGTTGCATTTACTATCAAACGTTGTTCAGTTGCTGGTTTATATCAATTAAATACATTGCTGCTTCTCTGTGATGAGTGAAGTGCCTCACTCTATCCACAACATACATTATCTGACATCACCGAGAAATTTCAGCTCCATTATCTCTAATTCTCTTCATGCAGTCACAAGCTACAGTTAGACCAGACTTGGACTCTACTGTGCTAGACTGAACACATGCAGCTTCCTCCACTTTCCTTGTAGGTCATGTTCTCTAGGTAACCAGCTGGGTAACTCTCCAGTGGACCAGTTCCAGCTTCTCCACATTCCTTTTGTACTGGTTGCGCCCAAACTGGACTGTATTCTAAATAATGGCTTCACCAGTGCTGAGCAGAGGAGAACAAAGTATTTCTTCCATCTGCTGGCCACTTTCAGCTAGTCTAAACTGCTCAGTACTCATCACTTATGATGAAAGTGCACTGTTGGCTCATGTTCAGTTGGGCATCCACTTGCTGTGAGCCTGGTTTCAGCAGGACTGCTGCTCTGGCTGTCACCTCCCAGCCTGTACTGCTCCTTGGGGTTATTCCTCCCCAAGAGCAGCAACTTGCGTTTCCCCTTAGATTATGGTTCTTGTGGACTGAAGTCAGACCACTTGGTACATCAGCCATTCCCCCAGTTTCATATGATCTGCAAATGAGCTGAGGATGTATTATTGATGATGACCCTGAATGACAGGAGCCTCAGTATCAACCCATGGTAATCAACATGGAATGTTCTCTCAGCATTTATTCTGAAGTTCCACATAGCCAGATTATGAAGGCTCATCCATTTCATATTTGAACAGGCATCTAAGAAAGGTGAAGCACACTACGGATGGGCCCTTCTTCCTTTGTTGACAATCAAAATAGCCTGAAGTGCTTAGCTCAGACTTAGTGTCTAAAGTTAGATCAGATAAATCTAGTGTGAAGTGTCCCTGTCCATGGCAGGGGTTGGAACTAGATGATCTTAAGGACCTTTCCAATCCAAACCATCCTATAATTCTATGATTCTCTGGGGATCCATTACTCCTGATCTGTTATGGACAAGTCCCTATCAGCTTTGGCTTGCTTAGCCCTTCATGATTCCCTGATAGTCTCCCCATAGGCCTTGCCTAATGCCGCTGAGCATCCTCAGCAGTGCTAAAACCCACCCTGCTGCAGACCTGCCTGTTACTGCAGGTACTTTGAACTGAAAAACTGCTGCAGTGCAAAGTTACCACTTTTGTCCTTGGGTCTGATGGTGCTGTATGGAAGCAGAGGAAGCCCAGGCCCGGTGCTGTGCACTGCATTTATTGCAGGTCTACTTAGAGCAACCTGAGCATTAAGCCACCTTGCAAAGGGTGTTGATGGCAGTGCCAGCCTTGTGTGTTGTCCCCTGTTATGAGAGGTGTTATCATGGTTCCGGCAATATGCTTCTGACGTAGTAGCAATGGACTATAGCAGGTGCACTGCTGGGCTCAAGGCATTGAATGACACTTTACTTCCTGAGCAGTGGAATGAAATTGTTATTGCTTATACTGGAACAGGACCTGGACAGGCTGGAGTAAAAATCAGCTTCTTTCTAATTGTCCTACACAGTTTCATTCAAACTAGTGATATAAATACTCATATCATTTATGCATATACAGCCCATCAAAGCAAGTCTCTATCTGTGATGGAAATGAAAAAGGATGAAAAGAGCAATAGTCAGTTCTGCTGCTATGTTTAATTTGAAGAATGGAAACTTAAACTTGAATTCACCCTCAAACATAGTTTGTTTCTATAGGAATGTGAAAAATGTGGATCATTTGGAATAATTGTATTAAAAATACAAACTTTTGTTGTTACCACTAGGAAAGATGGGGAAGTTTTATATAAACTCACATAGTCTTTGCAGGTTAGAAACTATTAGGAGCATTTAAGAGATAGAAGGGATAAATCTGGAGCTCAATAACCTTCATCATGTCCTTTTTAATGCAGTAAGATGCTGCACTTAGCCTCTGTTCCCACATGCTGCTCTAAAAGCATTAGGAAAGAGTAAACTGGTTTTAAAAATATTTATATTTAATGGCTATTTTGTAACTACTCAGCAAAACTCTACTGGGTTGTTTGTTCCAGGCTTTTAGAAATAAGTACATTATCTGATTTTTTTTCAGAACAAGGCTCTTTCCAACTAACAGCGGTAATCAAATGGTGTCACTGGTCATATTAAAACATGAGGGATAGTTTAGATGAGAATATTCTCTTAAATATTTTGAAATACTCCTTCTGCAATTGCCACCTACATAAGATGGGGTTTGGCATTGTTATTAACTGGTGGTTATAATTTTTGAGGAAAAAAGCCCTGTGTTTTTAAAGAATAATTACTTCATTTGAAATAGTTACACTGCAATGGGGCTGAATTCTGGTCATCTTATTTCTGTGCATGGAATTTCTTGAACTTGAATGGCCTCATAAGACACTAATAGTTCAAAGGCATAGAGGTCTTTGCTGGTGAGGGACTCTTCATCAGGGACTGTAGTAATAGGACAAGGTTGATGGGTTCAGACTTAAACAGGGGAAGTTCAAGTTACATGTAAGGAAGAAGTTCTTGACTGTTAGGGTGGTGAGGCACTGGAATGGGTTGCCCAAGGAAGTTGTGAATGCCCCATCCCTGGCAGTGTTCAAAGCCAGGCTGGATGGGCTTGGAGCAATCTGGTCTAGTGTGAGGCATCCCTGCCCATGGCAGGGGATTGGAGCTGTATGATCTTCAGGTCCTTTCCATCCCTAGCTATTCTATGATTCTAGTTACCCTTAGTGGTTTTCACTATGAGTTCAGAACAGATACACCTTAGCAAGACAAAATGGTGATAGGAGGGGAGGTTAACCATCAAAAATGGTGTTCTGGTTTTTCATATGATAGGCAGAAGGTAGGAACTTTACCTTATCCTTGGCTTTCCCTGTAAAAGACCAAGCTCCTTCACAGTTCAAATCCGTGGAAGCTGAGGAAGTATGGAGCTCTGGACAACTGAGTTCAGATCTTTGAGGACGCTGCTTCTCTAGGCTCATGGTCTTTCAGTCTTATTCATGGGTACAACAAATGTTTGTGCTGTCTTCAAACCTTGAAGAGAAAAAATTTGTAAGCATGTTTTAACTGAGTTTTCACAGTACTTGTTTGTACTATTTCATGCAATAAAGTAATTGTGCAATTAGTAATCATCAGTTCCAAAAAGGGTGGCATTCACAGGAACACTCCACAGAGTCATAGAATGGTTTGGGTTGGAAGGGGTCTTGAAGCTTATCAAGTTCCAACCCCCTGCCATTGGCAGGCACACCTTCCACTAACCCAGGTTAGTTGTCTGGTCCCGCTTGTTGAACCACTAGACACAAAACCTTCAGATTTCAGAACATTCCTGCACTGTCCCCTATAGATTGACTAAGCAATGTATTTTTCATTTCTGCCTTTATTGTTTAATTTAATGGATTTACAGGTTATTCCTGCAAAACAGACTGGATCCAGTATTGTTAATTAAGTTCTACAGCCAAGAAACAGCAAGCCAAACGATGGATTGGGAGCCTTTACCGCTGTAGCTATCTGCTGCCTTTGGAGAAGGTTTGTCCCAAAATAGCCAGGAGCTTATCCCTTGTCCCCCTGTTTATTTTTATCAAGGAATCTGCTGTGCAGCAACATGTGACAGGCAACTAGCCCAGTTTCAGGTGACCTTAAGAGCACATGGCATATACACAGCCTTGCCTGGAAACTAAGTACGGCTCCATCTGCATACATCCTCTAGGATGCAGCTTATCCCTGCAAGTGACAGGGACATGTTTTCTGCCCATATACACAGAAACAGCTGGAATAAAAACTGATTGAGAAAATGCAAGCAAGGGATTGCTGGTGTGAACGTAATGAATGATCCAGCCACTGACCTCAGAGTCCATGGAGGACTTAGAAGACTGGCTTTGAGTCTTCACCTGGAAATTTCAGACAAGATCTATAGGCAAAATCTGGAGGATACGATCACATCCCCATTCCTGGCAGTGTTCAAGGCCAGGTTGGAAGGGGCTCAGAGCAACCTGCTCTAGTGGAATGTGTCCCTGACTGTGGCAGGGGGTTGGAACTAGATGAGCTCTAAAGTCCCTTTCAACCCAAACCATTTGGTGGTTCTGTGATGCCATATCCCTCGTGATACAGCTTCAGGCACCCCTCATGAACAAGGCAAACAAAAAGCCAGGGTGCAGCAACAGCCACATAAACACTCAGCACAATGTTGTTCCTCATTCATGGACCAGGCAACAATCTGCCTCACCACATCATTTAGGATGTGTAAGCTGAAGATAAAGAGAGGACTTGGGTGATGAGCAAGGTATTTAGACCTTCCCCATTCCATGGAGGCAAAGAACCGAATGGGACTTTATATAAGCTTTTATATAAACTTCATGTGGTTTTCTCAAGGCCTCCCAGCCTAGAATTAGGCAGACTGGGTGAGAATTAATTTTGTGTTGGTGTGAAGTAATCTCCTGCGGCTGTGGAAGAGAGAGCTTGAAAATATGTACTACAAATGCACAAAGAGCTGGATGTAGTTAACATTAAAAATACATGACTAACTCACTGGCAAAACAGCATCACAGTTTTTACCATCTAGCTCCTGATTCCTGAGCATTTGGATGGCAACACTGTGTCCTTCACGGAATTGTAGCTGGGTAATTCCTATATGGTCACACCTGTATTGCAGATGGGAAATTGAGGCCAAAGCTGCTCTGCCTAAGGTCTCACAGTGACAGTGGCATTCAGAATGCCAACACCTGCTCCTTGCACTGCTTCAGCAACCAAGTTTTCAGTAAAATCAGCAGAAATGCAGTATGATGCCATGTCCTGGAGAGACTGCAAAGGCTTCTGAACAGGAATTACGAGCTACTGCATCAAAGGCCCCACACTTGACATTTATTGGCTTTTTGATGAATGCTGGGGTAATTTTCCTGTCAACAGTCTCTCATTAGGAGCCTGGCAATGTTCTTTCTGACCATTATCTTGCTCAATATCACATTGGGTTGCTACAAAGAGCAGAAATTTTATGTACAAGCTATCTATCTCTGTAGCTGCAAAACCTTCTAATCATTCTACATTTAAATAATCTCATGAAAATGTGGCTGCCTTCTCGAAGCAATCAGGGTAATAAACAAATGGGTAAATTTCCATGAGGATCTAAAGCTGTAGGACAAATCTCATACTGCAATGAGTAGGATTCATTTGTCTTGATTTCACTGGTACTGCACCTCAATTATACTATTTCTGAATTTAGCCATCAAATAACACATCCCCATCCTGTTGTATGCTCCCAAAGGAGGGAAAAAACATCAAAGCTGTACCTTTCTGACTCTTCACTTGTAGGATATATCATCTCCTGGTTGCTTGTTGTCAATATTAGGGTTATTTTCATCAAACCCATAGCTTTTATAAAAATCAAATAGTAGAAATATACCGTTAATACCACTGTGGATTTGAAAGGCTAAAATCATTCATTAAACTTTGATGTGGCCAACAGTAGCTATTTTCATGATATGATCTTAAAAAAAGGTAATCCTTACTTTAATAGTATCCTGGAGCTGTGCTCATAGAAGCATCCCAGGGGTATTATATATTTTATTATGATCATAATAGAAACAAAATCAAAACCAAAACCAGATGATAAAATAACAAGTTGAATTTGTACTGCTAATATCTCAGCCAGATTCCTGGGCTGGATTCATGGCTGCTGTTCATAGCTACTTACCACAAGAGACTTTCATTTTCCCTCCTTAGGCAAGACAGTATTTTCAGCCTGCTGAAACCAAAACTTGTCATGCTATGAAGTTAACTGAGAAAAATAAACATTCCTGTAGCCTAGATTGAAACAGAGCCAACTCTTTACACTAACTTTAACTGCAGCACAAGCTCACCTGTTGGACTTGATACGGATATAGGTATTGATCTCATTCACTGATCCTGCTGAAGGCAAGCCACCTCCTGGAAAGGCAGGGCAGGGATGGATGGCAATGTCTTAGACTATCTGCAACCTGGATCATTACAGCTGTGTGTCAGGGAGGTCTGATGTAATGGGTCATGTCTAACCATAGACTGCTTTCTGAAGTTTTTAAGGACAAATCAACTGCAATAAGAGAATGCTGACATTCAGGCTGCCTCAGCTGCTGATGACAGAGGAGGTGTTAGTGGCACTTGGGTTTTATTCCGGACCTGTCCTCCTATAAACAATTACAGGGGATGATATCATTTTTGGAAAGACGAGCGATTATTTCCCTGTCAGCTCTGCCCTGTCAGCATCAAGGATAATGTGATATATACCTGCTGTGCTCTTCTCCACTTCCTGGCCCCAAATCATTCTCAGTGTAGACACAAAGTGATGCTTCTGGAAAGGAACAATAAAGAATTATTAAAACATATATAGAACATGGGGGAAAGGAGAAAGCAAATGAATACATGAAGTCATTCTCCTAATGTGGTCTTTAATCTAGATAAGGATATTTTCTTGCACCTGTTTCATGAAATATACCCTTCATGCCATTAAAACTTTATCATCTGTTCTTTAACGGATTTAATCCTATAAAAAAAATCTCTGTTCTAAGTGTCAGGATATTGTATAAATACAGACTTCTGCATCAGGCTCCCTTCTCTTTCAAGACTCCACTAGATTAGGTTAAAATACTTTAAAATTAGTGTGTTTTTTCTTGTTTTTTTTTTTTGTTTCTGAGTCCTTAGTGTGAAGTCAGAACTGTTTGGGTTTTTTCTCTCTCTCCTTGGGGGTTATTTGTTTTGTGAATGCTGAGATTCTTATGTAAGTACATACAAATCCTGAAAGCTTTACAAAATACCACATACCATAGAATCATAGAATGGTTTAAGTTGGAAAGGACCTTAAGGTCATCCAGTTCCAACTCCCTGCCACAGGCAGAGACACCTCACACTAGAGTATGTCACCCAAGGCTCTGTACAACCTGGCCTTGAACACTTCCAGGGATGGAGCATTTACCCCTTCTCTGTGCAACCTAACTGTTATCACTACTGGATTGGGGGAAAGCATCAGGTTTTAATGCAAAACCTGTAAGAAATGAGATTTAACAGATGAAAGAGCAGGGTAATGAGAATGTTTGGTTCTCTGACAAAAGGCGCTGCAGGAAGAATACAAAGGTGCTCTCCAGAGAGCCTATGCAGAGGACTGGAAAACTGACCTATTTACCCCTTTTTCATTGGGACCAGCAAGAATATTCCTGCAAGGATAATCAGCCCCTTATTCATTAGCCTGAGGTTATTACTAATTATCAGTATTATTACTTACTGTTGCTGCTATTCTTGCTATAACCTATTTGATGTCTTGGCTTCGTGAGCGAAGGTTTGGGAGGGGCTTTACCCATGCTTATTACAAGCACGGTGACCAAGGGCATGTGGGATAGGCAAATCTGTTTGGAAAAAGGCTGCTTAGGCAATCAGGAAGCTTCTGACCAGGACTGACCTCTCGTGAGGCAATCTTGAGAGATCAAAAAGTCCTGATCCGCCCACATGCAAGGCCGGATCTGCAGCTTCAGGTGCATCTTGTCACCTGCCGTTTCGACCCTTGCCTGTCCATACAGACAAGTGAGAGTAAACCCCTCCAGCCTGCACAGTGATTTTTTTAGGTGAGGTGCAGCGTGCACAGAGCTGGCCCCACCCTTTAAACCAGAGGTTTAATTGCCACGGCCTAGCTAGCTAGGAAAGTGACAGCAAAGTCCACAGGTCGTAGGGTTTGTAAGAGTGTCCTTCTCTTAGATGGAAGACCTATTTAATACAGTGACATCACTACAGTTCAGGAATTAAAATGTTGATGCCTTCCCCCCAGAGCTAGGCTTGGAAACTGGTCTGAATCCCTGAAATCTGAAGCCTCTGCTGCTTGGACGGGAATAGCGTTTATCTGGCAGCAAGGACTTGTCCTTTTATGCAGCCTGTAAAAAACACTTAGTACTTCCCATGTACTCAGCATGGTAAAATGGAAGTTGTCAAACATAAAGTCTTTTTGTTTGCTGTCTACGGATATTCCCATAAACGTTTAGTCTTTTTCTACATGAGCATTTATTTAGAGCAGATGTTCAAGCAATATTTCCATGGACAGCTTGAGACCTTCACGAGGCACTGGATGGTTGCAATGCAACATCAATTTATTCAGCACACACAGTTACCAAAGTAGCAAAATGCAAACAGTAAATTTACCTCAGCAAAAGTCCTGGTAAAGAGCTCAGTAGAACATAGGCTAAAAAAAAAAACAAAAAACCAAACTGCTAAAATGTCCTAGACTTTTCTGTCCCATCCATCACTATATTTAAATACATTCCTATAATGAATTCATATATATATACACATAAAATTCCTATAATGAATATAAAGTCCTATAAGGACATGAGGATGGTGAGACTGGCTTGCTCAGAGAAGCTGTAGATGTGCCATCCCTGGAGGTGTTCAAAGCCAGGTTGGAAGGGGCTTTGATAAGGACCCTTCTGACCCAAAACATTCTGTGATTCTGTGATATGATTCCATCAGCCAGTTTTTAGTTCTGAAATGTAAACCAGAGGGAAAATATTTTAAAAACCTGGGAAAAGCCAAACCTTGATTCCCTACCCAGCTTTCTCACAAAACTCCATTGTGACCTTGGGCGAGCTGATGGAGGCAGAAAAGTAATGTGACTGTGCAGTCCAACCTCCCACTTACCATAGGTCATTTCTTCTTGGCCTGCTTACCCCTATAAGACATTTGTCTGAAGTGCTATGGAATTATCTAACCTTGTGCAGAAAAAGAAGAAGGAAAAGAAGGTGCCAACAGTGTGATCCATTTCTCTTGCAGTCAGAACTTGCAGCTTATATCTGGTTTGAATTCATCTGACTACAGCTTCCAGGCAGGGCAATAGAGCTGCCTTTTGTGGGCTCAGATAGATCCTTCAGTAGCTCAGTGGCCTATATGTGAAATGGAGCTGATCGTTGCCTTTTTTTCACTGTCCTTTATCTATCTTGTCTCTGTAGACCACAGGCCCCCTCAGGGGAAAATTGGCTCTCGCTATGTGTACACTCAGTGCCTTGCACAACAGCTTAGACTGGGCTCATCTCTGATGTGGAATGCTTGATACGTAGCATGTAAATTACAACATTGAGAAAGGACACTAAAAAAATCAAGCAATAAACCCCGAAAATCTCTGTCTGATGGAGATTTACTACAGATCTTCAGAAATCCTTGTTGCGTTACTACACAACATACTTCATTTTAAACCGATGGCACTATGTAGCAAACTGTCAGCAGAGGGCAGTATCAGATCACATCTTGAAGCAATCCCTGGTTAATGTGATTGGCCAGTTCCTTGGTTTTCTCCGCATTATCCCTCAGGGAATGGTTTAATGAGGTTGCTCTCTGAACAGCATGTGTGAGAAAGTGCTCTTGAAGTCATGCAAGTCGTGGGTCTAAAGTCTCTTCTCCCCCTTTTCTTGAAGCCCCAAGAGTCTTTGCATCCTCACTGATTACGTTGGAGGAACAGTTGCAATCCAGTTGTCAAGATAGGTGGCTTGGTACCAATCTCTAGGAAGATCTTTGGAAGCAAGAGGAGACCCTGTTCTGCTTTAAGAAATACACCTGTAAGATATACAGAGGTGTTTTGGGACCTGGACCATTCAGCAGAGCACTGTTTGCGAAAGCCTGGCTAGTTTGGCTTCCCTAGGGAGTTTTAATTACAGATCCAAATGAGTTTGTGTAGATAGGTAAGAGGTCCTGGAGAGAACAAGGGATTCCAAAAGACCTTCCAAGAGCCTGGATCAGCAAGCCGGATAGAAGAGGTGAGCAGAGTGTGACAATTATGCCTTCATGCCTCAGATTTTCAGGAATAGGTACCAATTCAGAGGAAAGGTGTCCCAGCCAGGGTTCAGCCCACCAGGATCACAGTGTCACCCTTTCCATCCTCCTTAAGTGGTGAACTCTTCTCTCCATGACTCAGTTTCCCCATCTGTAAAGGAAGTTACAAAGTTTTCTGTGACATACTAAAAGCAATGAACGATAAAAACTCATCAGCTGTGCTACTCACAACCTGGTGATGAACTAATGTGCTTGTCACACTGCGGGCTGTATAGAGAAGAAAACTGCTGGAGGTGTTAGTCCAGAGGTACTGTAGATGCCAAGGCACAGGACGAACTGTTGACAAAGAGTCCTCACCCAACAGGAACAATATTCCAACTGTAATGCATATAGCCTGCTGAGTCATTCCATCCCCCAGGGCAGGTAAACACTTTGCAAGAGTCTGCAATGGTAATCATTAGACTATTGTAAATATTAAAGAATACAAATGCCAGGTGTCTCCTTATCTGAGCTTCAGCTTTATGCCTGGCTTCATGAAAAGTAAGGAAGTGTGACCACCTGTAATGATACCAGAAATAATACTTAGAATCTCAGGGCTCACTGATTATCAGCCTGAATTAACCATTTTCCCCCAATTTCCAAAAGAATGGGGAGTGATTACATTGTTCAAAGCCACTATAGTGAAGGAAGCCAAGAGAAGCTGTGGCTGCCCCATCCCTGGCAGTGTTCAAGGCCAGTTTGGAGCTTGGAGCAATCTGCTCTAGTGGAAGGTGTCCTTGCCTGTGGCAGGGGGTTGGAACTGGATGAGTTTTAAGGTCCCTTCAACCCAAACCGGTCTGAGATTTTATGATTCTAAGCCTGTAACTTCAAACATCAAAACAGGCAGGATACCAGGCTGTGCTGAAGTTGCAGAGGAATTCACACAAACATTCAATGACCAGCTCTGGAATGCAATGAACCCAGGTAGATCAACAAGCACAAGATAAATGTGCAAGGTGACAAGTGGGGTCCAGCCCAGGCCAAACCTCCAGCAGTCCATGGTAATGGGGTAGAGGTTATGTCAGCTTTGTGTCTGGCAGCTTCTGCACAGCTCTCACCAGCACACTGAGTAGAAGATGTATTCTAACCGCTTTTACTCAAAAGGCTCCACTCAGACCACAGCCACCCGTCAGTCAGGATTCAATGCCTTCTCCACTGGACAACATTGGTCCTGTTGTACAATCATGCTCCTACAAAGCTGAGACAGACGTGATCTGTGCCCTCTGTTTCATTTTCCTCTCTGCCACTCTGGATCTCTCTCTGACTCACAGAAGCCATTTCAGATCGTGACCATCTGTAACCACAGAAATTGAGGCACCACTAGTAATAAAACTAAAAGCAAGCAATTGAAACTTGGAAACAAAAAGCAAATGTGACCTCAGACTGATAAGCAGCTCTAATAACAGACCTGGAAAGACAGTACTTTAAGCCAAAGATGCACTAAAGGAATAGTTTTGCAACCTTTTTCTTCAAAGAATCTAAAATATTGGGTTTAGGGAAAAGCACTAAACATCAGTTTCAAGCAAAGTTATGGGTTTTTTTCTTAATTAAAAACTTACATCTTAAAGGATTAAAAACTTACATCTTAAAGGATTTACACAAAAGTTTATGTAAGCATTTCCATGTAGATGAAAAAGGAAACAACATTCACTGTGTGCACAGAGAGTTTCTGTTAAGGTGGTTGCACAGAGGATACAAAAATAACTGGGAACGTAAGCACATAGGGGATGCTCAGGTGCTAATGAGACTGCTCAGGGCTGATTCAGAGCTGTGCTGCAGGCATTCCATGACAGCTCTTCCAGGAGGTGTCCCCAGCAGCCATGAGTCAGGTCCCTGCCTCTGTGTCAGTCCTTCTGCAGGAAACTCCCTACAAAAGAGCTGGCAGGTACGTCCTTAAAGGCAAAGGAACCAGGGTCTTCCCATGCTTTAGCTCTTCCAAGTGCAAGAGCAGATCGAGGAGGAAGCTTGAGGTGAGCACAGACAAAAATCAGCCTGAGAAGTGCACACCGGCCAAGCAGAACCCGTCTGCATTGTAAAGATACAATAGATGGCTGCAGGCCAGTTTTGTTCCTGTTGGTCCTTGAATTGATGATGGCTCTGACACTCTTGTGATCTTGAACACAGGCCTAGAGGACAGGCTCTTTACTGCCTGAATTGAAATCCTGCCCTCTGTTACCCTAGGCAAGGTTAATGACTGTAATTTATTGAAAGGCCTGTAATGATTTGTTAAATGACGTTGAAAACCTAGTTTCATTAAAACAAGTTACAAAGTGTCCCAACAACGAAAGATTTGCACTTTACTTCATTTTAAAGTCCTTTTACTTCCCTTAAAGCTTTTAAGTATCAGTTACAAGTCATTCATTTGTCACTTTTTTTGGGTCAAGAACAATGCATTAACTATATATATTTGTATCTATCTACTATGCACATGCAGGTGCCCTGTACCATATTGGTTGTTGATGCCCCAAATGCAACTGAGTGATGGTTTCCTTCCCATCATCTGCACCCCACAGACTTCAAGAACAGCACCTACAGCAGAGTTTGCATGGAAAGCTATAAGCAATCTGACTGCAAATCACCTCTCTCAACACTGTCTTCCTCTAGCAATGTGAAGCAGTGGAGCTTCAGTGAAGCAGTGCCCTTCCTCGTGAGAACCAGAAAAATCCAAGAGGCAGGGCTGGCAAGAGAGGAAGATAGTGCACAGGTGATCTCGCCTGTTCTGTTTGTACTGATGTTATTCATAAAACACTTCTACAGCTATTCAAGCAAAACTCAGTATTGAAGACTGGCAATGTTACTTTGGTATTTAGCATTTGCAAGAACCCCTGTATGACTGGAACTCAAAAAAGGCCTCCAGCATTTCTTCTGTTCCCAGGGTCATATTCTCTCACTGCAAATCCCCTGGTATCCAGAGGATGGGTCCCCAGCCAAAAATGATATCCAAGCCCAGAGCTAATTGTCTAAGTTTCTTCTGTAGTTATAAAGAGAAACAAATGCTTCAAAAGATCAGAACACCCAAAATATGGGGAGGTAGGAGCTGCCTGGTAGGGAACTGATGTCTCTGAGCACCTGACTTTCTCCAGGAAACTCCCTAGGAACTGGAGTCTGACACACTGCCCTAAGCACAGGAATATTTTCAGGAGTAGAACAGGGCCATTGCTTTCCTCTTGAAACCCACAGAATATTTGAAAATTAACTTTTAAAATCTTATTCTACACTTCTACATAGTGACTTTGCACTTATTTAAGGGCTTGAATATTGTTCTCGTCTTGATACAAGCCTTTCTTTATATACCCTTGTTTTTTAAGTAGGGAAAGCCTCCTCTGTTCCAGTTTCAGAGGTGCACATGATAGCAGTGTCCTAACCTTAGAAACTGAAGTGTTAGTGCAAGATCTAGTACTAACTGTCACGCTACTTTCATGTGTCTTTGCACAGCATAAAGAGGAAAAGAGAGGAAAGGGGCGGGGGGGGGGGGGGAGAAGAAAAAACAAATGTGCTTTCATTCTTCACTTTTAAGGGTGAGATTTCCCTTTTATGGAGACATCTCTCAACTTATTTACTATGGGAGCATGAAGTCTTTAATGATACCTTCTTGCACTAAGAGAACAAAGTATTCTGTAGAAAAGCCAGCTCTTTGCTGCCACTGCCAGCCACTTACAAGTACAAAGTTACAAAGCACTTACTTAAATGAAGCTCATACTTCATTAAACAATTAGGCAATAAGGCAGAACAAAGGCTGTGGTTTGCAGGCCTTGTTCTGTAATTGTATCCTCCCCCATTAGGATAAGCAATGTTGGTTGCAATTTAGGATTATCCTCTAATGGCCTTGTCCTGTGGGATTAGTGGATTGCCACAATGGGGAATTCTTTTATCTGTCGATGGCAGTGTAAAATAGATGATTTGTGTAGGTTTAGAGGTGAGGAATTTCATCCCTCTTTCCTCCTTTCATTTGTGACACCCTGATTAGAAGCTTTTATCTTTGCTTTTGCTTTCTGAACCATGAAGGTTATAAACCAGCCCAGTTCCTGCAAAGGTCCAGTTCACAGAAACCCAGTTTGTAACTAAATATCACTGAGTCTCCCCAAACACATTGTAGACACGCTGAGCCCGAGTGACACTGAGGATGAGAAATGGGTAAGTTACTATGTTGAATGAGGTTGTGCTTGTGCTGGGATTCTCTCTTCAGCTCATACAGCAGGTGCAGCTGGTGAACTTTCAGGTGAAACTAAGAGGCACCTACAGAGATAAGGCAGATGCAGGATTAGATGGCTGGTAAACAGAGATTGCAGATGAAATTTAAATGTCTGAAGTCCACCTACAGTCTGCTAAATGCCTTTCCTGATCTAGTATTCAGCTCCTAATGAAATTACCGGTTTTTGTTCCAGTGACTTGAAGTTGACCCCGGACAGAGGCCACAGCCCTATCAGAATCCCCTTCTACAACAGTTACAAAACACCCTGGATGCCAGCAGCAATTCCTTCCCTCAAACATGATATACAAGGAATCTCTCCATGCTCTTCTCCACAAACCATTCAGTTCTGCTGAAACAGAACATACAGCTCAAATGCAAAATACAACTCACTGTATGACAGGACACCCTGTCCTTGGGAACTGGAATTAAGATCATCCAGACTCATATCATGAGCCAACAGGAGACCATTAGAAGAATTAACTTACAGTTCTAACAGGAATCAAACTAGAAATTAAAATAAGAAAGGAGAAGAGAAGAGAAGAGAAGAGAAGAGAAGAGAAGAGAAGAGAAGAGAAGAGAAGAGAAGAGAAGAGAAGAGAAGAGAAGAGAAGAGAAAGGGAAGAAAAAGGAAAAGAAGAAGAAGGAAAAGAAAAAGAAAAAGTAAAAGACTCAAACCCTAAAAAGCCATAATACTTTAAAAAATGAGTTTATTTCTGAGTACATATATTTTATGCTTTCTTAGAGCTTTCTATATTTTCTACTCACACTCCTCCCCTTTGGAAATAATATTTATTATATTAAATATTATATATAATTGTTAAATTAATATTTAATTCAATTCAGTGATACATGTCTCCACTCCCCACAGTAAAATAAGTTGCATTCATTTCAAACACACTGACACTGGAATATAACACTCATTGGGATGCAGGGGAAAACAATCGACTATTAAATGTCAGACAATACATGTTTTAAATAGTAGAAGCCAAGGAACAGCTATTTGGAATACTTTTGTATTCCAAATAGGAGCCTGCTAAAATTGGGCCACCTTCAACCAGATACTGTAAAAACAGCAGAAGGCCATCCCACTCCTCTCTCTTACTCTAAGAGTAGGATCTGCTGAAGGAAAAGATGAAGGACTAGATCCAAGAAAGGATTAAAGAGGCAAACCTAGAATTTAAGTGAAACTGAGATACTGAATGCCAGAAGTACACCTTAGCTCCTCTTCCTCTCCCCGCAGCTGAACTGCAGACAAACCCTGCCGTCAGCACAACTCATTAGGTAACTACTTCCTCTGCAGATTTTTCCTCATACCTGAAAATCTTGTCTCACCAGTGAGGTACACTAACATCAGAAGTAAGGAGATAAGAGAAATTAGGTCCAACTTAATAGACAGCTGACTAATATGCCCAAGAGATCAAGCTCTGGAGCCAGCAGCAAAAAAGAGGGACATGGCTTGATGTGGAGAGAGGGCAGTAGGAAGCCACCAAGGCAACATGGAGAGTTCTGGCAATAGAGAGTAGGTCAAGAAGCACTGATGGGGTGGGGGTGATGGTGGAGGGAGCAGAAGGAATGGCTTGGAAACAGTGATATGGCCTCAGCAATGCAGGAAGGAGATAAGGTACTGAAGAGAGAAGGGAACAGGGGGGAATCGGGGTATCCAGAAGACAAAAGGAAAACTGGCTGAAGAAGTTAATAACTGCAGCTCTTGATGCCTCCAGCTCTGCTTCTGTACACAACAGCCAGCCACAGCAGCTTCAGGGCTATTTCTCAATCTATTTAGAACATAGCCTGGAAAACAGGTACTCTTCTGGTTTAATCACAAACAGGACTAAATGCTAAAGTTGTTCCTGGAGATAAATGCTGACCGTCTGCTCTTCACAGATCCTATCTTGGCCATATTTTACAGCAAGTGACGATATCTCTAAGTGCTTGTCTAGGAAGTGTCAATCCAGGACGCACAGTTATCTCTGAACCATCAGACTGTTCAAACTCCTCTCTCACTTTCCACACATGTACCCTCATCACCCAGGGGAGGAATGGAACTTGTTCTCTGCAGCTCAGACATATTCCCGTCCTTATGGCAGCGGATCTGGTTCAGAGGTTGCTATCTGTCTTCCTTAACCTAGAGTTTGGGTTTGTCCTACAACACTCTGAATCAAAAGCAGAAATAGCTACGTAAAAAAGAGATAGAAGCTCCTTTCAAAAATGTCCATGGAATCATAGAGCAGCCAAGGCTGGAAAGGGTCCCCAGAAGATCATCTGCTCGAGCCTTTCATAACAAAGGGAGTGAGATTATCCAGCACCCTCTCCAGTCACATCTTGAAAACCTCCAGCAATGGGGACTCCACCATATCCCTGGGAGGCTGTTCCAGTGAGTGATCTCATTGTAAAAAAAGGTCTTTCTTAAATCAAGGTGAAACTTCTCTCAGTACAACTCATACCATTGCCTCTTGCTGTCTCCATGTGGCTCCTTGTGAAGACAGAGCCTCTGCCATCCTTGCAGCAGCCCTCTAAACTGCTGCAAGGAGCTTAGAGTTCTCTCAACTTTTCCTTACACAGCTTTCCAGACCTTGAATCATCTTTGTGGTCCTTCTCTGGACCCTCTCCGTCCCATTCACATGTGGTTTTTCATATAGGAGGGATGAGAACGGCACACAGTATTCCAGGTGTGGCTTTGTTTCTTTTAATCTAGTTCACTACACAAACCTGACTGACAGCACCACAAAAGCCATTGAGCTGGCACAAGAGAGGCAGTAGAGACATCCGGGCTGGGATGTCAGCCTTCTGCTGAGTCATGGAAGAATCCCAAAGTTTTGATTACTCTAAGTTTATCTCACTGCTTGGAAATTCATTCCGCCAGCTAGACACTGAAAAGCAAAGCGTGCTGTGACACCAAAGCTTTTCATCATCTCTTGCTGGAAGTGCCTTGCCAAAAACAAAGGACATGGTCAATCATGAGGAAAAGTTGTGTGAATGAGTCATGTGGGATTATTGATTATAAACAGGGGTATCAGCAGCTGTATGCTACCTAGTATTTGTACAATACTTTGCATAAGCCATGGTCTTGTCTTGAGGTTTCCAGTTGCCACTCTTATACAAATAACACATCACAATGCCATGTTGATCACAAAAGGAAGTCAACTCTAATGACCAGAAACGTAACTCAAACTTTACACTGGCTAAACCCAGTTTCGTTCATGACTATCTCATATCTCAGTGAACACATATTCCCTATTTTGTCCATCTGTTGCCTTACATACAAAATGTAAACTACCAGCTTTCTAAAACAGTTGCTTTGGGGCTTTCGGTTGTTTTTTGTTTTTCTCTTTATACCACAGGGTTGCAGAATCACAGACTGATTTGGGTTGGAAGGGACCTTAAAGCTCATCCAGTTCCAACCCCTGCCATGGGCAGGAACACCTTCCACTAGACCAGGTTGCTCCAAGCACCTGTGTCCAACCAGACCTTGAACACTTCCAGGGATGAGGCAGCCACAGTTTCTTGGGGAACCTGTGCCAGTGTCTCACCACCCTCACAGTATAAAACTTCTTCTTGATATCTAATCTGAATCTCCCCTCTGTCACTACAGACCTTTGTAAAAAGCTCCTCTCCAGCTTTCTTGACAGCCACCTTTTAGGTACTGGAAGCTGATCTAAGGTCTCCCTGGAGCTTTCTCTTCTCCAGGCTGAACAAGCCCAACTCTCTCAGCCTCTCCTCATAGCAGAGGTTCTCCATCCCTCTGAGCATCCTTGTGGCCTCCTCTGGATTTGCTCCACATCCTTCTTACATTGTTGTCTCCAGAGCTGTACACCAGACTGCAGATGGAGTCTCACAAGAGTGGAGCAGATGGCAAAATCCCCTCCCTCAACCTGCTGGCCACGTTCTTTTTGGCACAGCCCAGGATACAGTTAGTTTCTGGGCTCCAATCTCACTCCAAGCTCATGTTGAGCTTCTCATCACCCAATACCCCAGAGTCTTTCTCCTCAGGCTGCTCTCAATCCATTCTCCTCCCAGCCTGTACTTGTGCTTGGGATTGCCCTGACCCAGGTGTAGAACCTTGCACTTGGCCTTGTTGAACTTCATGATGTTTGCACTGGCCTACCTCTCGAACCTGTCAATGTCCTCCTAAATGCATCCCTTCCCTCCAGCCTCACCACACAGCTTGGTGTATACAAGTATATATCTTGGTGTATACAGCTTTGTGCATATACACTGCCTCTCACAAGGGGACTCTGACTTTTAACTGTGGAGCTTTCAGAGCCTATTCAAATTCAAATAACTAACAGATCCCTTTCCATCACTCTGCATTTTCTTCCTGACTGCTCAGTTCTATGAATTGCTCATCAAATCCATGCCACATGCAGAGGGGAAAAAGAGTCCAAAATAAAAAGTATTTGTGAATAAAGTCCAAAACATATAAATAAAATCCTCTCTGACCATGCTACTTAGCTCAATGTGTCTAGTCTTACATATTTGCAGTAATAAGTGCATTCTCTGAGAAGAAACTTGCATTTTGGCCTGTAACACAAGAAAAAGGGTTCAGATTGCCAAGAGCTTTGCAAACATGGGCTCGTTCTAGTGGCTCTGGTCTAAGCAGCATTTCCAGAGTGGCTGTAGAATGAGCTTCCCATAGGTAGGGCTCTACTGACACTAACAGTTGTGACATCAATTCTAGATTATGATAGGAGGAGTTAGAAATGCACATAAAATACTGTTTTGCTTTATTAAGTAGCAACCAGAAATGTCAGTATCACATGTTAATTAATGATTAATGTTAGAGGAAGGAGACGCATACCTGACATTTTTAAACTGGTAGAACAAGTTTTCACAGCGCAGAGGAGAGAAGTTCTCTGTAATACACAGTAATGGGCTGTGTACTTGGAATCGTACACTGCGAATTTCCCCACCTTCAGGACAGAATGTGTCAACACACAGTTGCTCTCCCAGAATAAAGTCAGTGCTGGAGTAAGCAGTGGGTAATGTTGAAGAACGAGGAAAGGAGAAAAAAAACATACAAATGACGATCAAAAGGACACAAAAACTCTTTCAGGCACTCCTGGGGTAAAAAAATGTCAACACAGCACATTTTTAATGTAAGACTAGACCCGATATTACAAGGTGCTGAAAGTCAATCAAGAAATAAAGAAAATAACACTGTGGAGCTGACAAAGCCCTGGAACTGTAAGATCTTCCTCAAGGTGATGTCCTACTTAGCAAGGAGTGCTTTAGGTCAGGCAGGGTGAGATAGTAATGCTGTAAGAGTAATACATTGAAGTTATCCAGCATCCCACACTGATGAATCTCAAAGCACTCCGGCCTAATATTCCCACAATGGAAATCAGTACATGCCTGCCTTTGAGTATATGTAGTAGATACCACTCCGACTTTGCTCCTTGATGAAACAAGGCACTTTCTTCTCCTGCACTGTTGTGTAATACATGTTACATAGGACAGTCATATGATCCTCTACCAAGTTGTTGGCAGAGCCAAGAATACAAAATAGAGGTAGGATTCATCGAGCCTAACATTAGCAAGTTACAAACTAGGCCTCCAGTCAAGAAAGACACATGGGACTCTGTGCAGGTTTCACCACCCTACAACCACTGGAGACATGTTTCCTCACAATGTGGTTTGTCCAACCTCTCTTAAGCTGGTGAATTCACCCTGTCTTGACTGTAGAATGATCAAACAGCTTCAATTAGAGACCAGCTTTGAAATAATAAAAAATCATCTCAAGTAAATCTCTGGGATCTCAACCATTTGCTCTCCTCCTGGACACCACTCCTGCAGCTCTGAAGGATGCTCAAGAAATCTGCAAACCGGGGATGACTAACCACCGCATCTTGCTGTCCTACGTTGCACAGTTCCCCCTTCCTGCTTCTGTTTCACCATTTATTTTGGGTAGGGTCACATCTCTTGGAAACATTTCCGTCTTCATAGAATCACAGACTGGTTTGGGTTGGAAACGACCTTAACATCATCCAGTTCCAAAACCCCTGCTATGGGCAGGGACACCTCACACTAAACCATGTCACCCACGGCTCTGTCCAACCTGGCCTTGAACACTGCCAGGGATGGAGCATTCACAACCTCCCTGGGCAACCCATTCCAGTGCCTCACCACCCTTACAGGAAGGAATTTCCTCCTTATATCCAATCTAAACTTCCCCTGTTTGAGTTTTAACCCACTACCCCTTGTCCTATCACTACAGTCCCTAATGAAGAGTCCATCCCCAGCATCCCTATAGGCCCCCTTCAGATACTGGAAGGCTGCTATGAGATCTCCACGCAGCCTTCTCTTCTCCAGGCTGAACAGCCCCAACTTTCTCAGCCTGTCTTCATACGGGAGGTGCTCCAGTCCCCTGATCATCCTCGTGGCCTCCTCTGGACTTGTTCCAACAGTTCCATGTCCTTTTTATGTTGAGGACACCAGAACTGCACACAATACTCCAAGTGGGATCTCACTTTTAGGTATTTCCTGCTCTAGGCATATTTCTGCCACTACAGCGCAGAAATAATGAGAAATAATAATTTCTGAGAGAGGCTCGGAATTTCTAGTGTTTATAAGTCAAATGGTTAATTTGACGGCTGCCATAGCCTTGCACAATGAAGGAAGGAGGGGACATGATTACTTGATAAATAACAGTGAGTGTGATGATATTTGGCAATAAATAGAAGTACATATAGGCAATATTTGTTATTGAGCTGTTAAATACATGGGCAGCACAGATTAACAAGGCACATAAACCTTTCTTTTCCTTATTGAAGAGGAAGGCTGAGGCAGGAGAGGGGTTTTTTCACAGGAGACAGCCACTTTTCACCTATTTTACCCTCAACATTCCCCAGTAGCTCAGTGAGAGGACAACCTCCACAGATCCCTCGTGATCGGGGCTATCCCTGCCACCGGCCCGGGAAGGGTTTTACCTCAGGGTTCTCAGACGAAGCCAAGGTATCGCCTTCCTCCTCACCCACCGCGGGCCGCCATGGCTGCCCGCCCTCATAGGGTGCTGTGGAGACCCACGGCCGGCGCACACTGTTGGGGCGGGGGGGGGACTTCAGACACGGACGGACTGACACGCGTTTAAACCGCGCACCGTGGGGGGTTCTGTGGCAACATAGCAAATCCCCTCGCAGCAGACCGCGCTGCAAGTAACCTCAGACGAAGGAGTACCGACCTCTGCTTTCCGCAGAGCCTAGGACAAGAGCGACCGTCCCGCCCGGGCGAGGCGGAGCCCTGCCGAACCGCCGCTCCCCTCACAGAGCTGAACCACCCCGCCCCGGCGCGGCGCGGCGCCCGCCGCTTTAACCGCCCACCGTGGGTGGTGGCGGGGCGCAGTGCGCATGAGTTCGGGGTGGCTGCGGCGGAGCCCGTGTCTGATCGGGGTTCGGACCCCTACCTGCTGCCGGTGTTCCGCTGTGCTTGTTCACTCTACTCGGGAGAGGACTGCTCCTTGGAGCCGGTGAGTGCAGGCTCCCCTTGCCCTGTGCGGAGCCTCGGCGCTCGGGCTGAGGGGATCTTCGCTTCTGTTTTACCTCTGCTTCAGCGTTCGTCTCGCCGGGGCTGGCGGCGAGTGAAGCCGCTGGAGTGAAACGATGAGCTCCGACCTTCTTCCTGAGCTTCTCTATCTTTTTCAGCCTGTGGGGTGAGGTCGCGGAGCTCTGCGCGCGTTCGCCAGCCCGCGATAGGAACGGTTCAGTTGTGGTGTTATTGCTCGCTAATGGGTTTTTAACGATTTCCACCCGTTGTCGACGGTTGCAGCGGTCGGGACGGCGGCTGCCCCGTGTCATTGTGTTGGTTCTCGCCCGCTGCTCTCCCGGGTTGGGGCTGCGGGCTGGGACCTGCTTCCCGCAGCTCTGCCAGCGCGGAGAGCGGCTGGTACCGGAGCGGAGAAAGGCTACTAGTTAGTAACTGACTGCTTCCCCGCTGCGGGCGAGGCGTAGTTTCACGGTACTGAGCTATGCGAAGGGTTATTTTTCTTCTGTTCCCCTTGTATTTCTTGTTCTTCCCCCTCATATCCTGTCTGAAAGCAATTTGCGTGTCTGAACTGGCAACTTAGCGAAGGAAAGGTTTCGTAGCCGTACATTGTTAAACTTTGGATGTATGGTGTGACTGAGTGACTAAGGGTGATGGGAAAGAGATGCCTTACTCCTCCTCATTGTTTTCTGACTGTCTGCATTTGAATGTTGGCATTAGCAAAAACGTCGGCGTAAACAGCAGCAGATTCTAGTTCAAAACGCTTCTTTTCCCTGCCTTCTATCAGGTGCCTTTTCCATCTGGTGATGGTATGTGTGAGATGGTTGGCTCTTATTAAGATCATAATCCTACGTAGTTCAGACGAGGTTTAGTGTGTGTGTGAGAGAGAAACAACAGCCTTGAAAGCACTCCCGGGATTTTCAATAATGCAGGATCTCAGTGGCATGTTTCCTGAGTAGTTTATGCTTTAGTGTGGCACCGAGAGGAGCTGAACGCAGAGCTCTGGTGCTCTTGGTCCTGGGCATGGGGGTAGGAGATGATTCCTGTGGGAACAGGGATGCAGGTGAAAGGAAAGAAATTTGCAGGATGTTTCTGTTCTGAAAACTTTGCAAGGCTTTTAAGCTATAACAAGCGTCAGAAGTGTAAGTAACAATTATTTCCTCTCCTGTTCCTTTTATGAAGGGCACAGGAGGAAACGCTTCTTTCTAAACCCTAAAGCGTAAGTCTTAGTTTTAAAAGCTTTCACAATTTCTAGCTTAGGCTAATAAAGAGGTTTTATTTTAAGACTTTTCTGCAAATCCTTGACTAATGGAGTGCTGCACATGGACTAATTTGTACAGGTACTACTATGAAGAATAGTGGTTGTGGCTTTTTCGCTTTCTTCGCAGTAATTACTGCTGTATAAGGGGGGAGCTGGTGTTTAAACAGGAAAAAAGAAGTTGCTCACTGGCATCTCCAAAAAATGAAGATAGTCATTATTTCTCAGAAGTTGAATACATTTTTCCAGCTGTGTCTTTCTTATCAAGGATTTGTTTGGGTTTTTTTATAACAGGGTGAGTGAATGAAATGAATTTTTATGCCTGGAAATACAAATAATGCCCAACATTGGAAAGGAACAGAGAGATTCTATATTGCATCTCTTTTGTCAATAGTAAACCTCTTCTCCTGTTGGTTGTAACTGCTTTTTCTCGGCATGCCTCTGAGAGAAATATTAACCAAGAATGTTGGCAGAGGGGCTTGCTGGTTGGATATAGTAACTGGAACAACTTAGCTCCTGAGCAGTTGACAAGGCTCAGGCTGAATGACCTTCTGAAATACTGGAGCATGAAAATAAATGAGGAGATGAATGTGGCTTTCAGAGCCAGCCAGGCAGGCTGTGTCAAACACCTTACCAAGGCCTCCCTCCTCTCTTTTTTTTATTTTTTAATTAAAAAATGAAAGCAAGGAATTTTCATTTCCGGTGTAACCAACTGCTTGAAGAGATCCTTTTCAAGTGGGTGTGTATTGATTATCCCTGTACCAAGGAAGGTTGAGGGTGAAACTTGACTGCTGTTTTCTGCCAGTGCTGTTCTCAGCTCTGTTTGCTTTGGGCAGGCAGACCTTTATGTACTCACATAGGAATGAAATGAGCATTAAATAAGCTGCTTTTTAAAGTAAACACCTCTGCTTTGTGCTTTGGATGTCTGCTACCCTCCTCCCTCTACCAGCATAGCAGTCACTAGAAGAAACATGGGAAAGTAGCCTAACATGCAGCTGTGAGACTGTGACACAGCCATGCCAGAGCTGAAAATCATGTTGCTGTCTTAAATACTTTGTAAAACAGGATTTAGTTCACCTTTGCTGTGACTGTGGCAGTACTTGCATAATGAAACCCTAAACCCCAGTGATGCTACACCTCTAAGAAGACAGAAGTTGACTAATTACAGAGGAGTCCATGCCTGAAACTGTTTATGTGCATTTCATTTTGCTGAAGTGTTGGCTGTCACAGATAGCACCACCCTGATGTTAACAGGGGAGGTGCAAAAAGATGTGACTTTAAAAGAATTGGACACTTCACCTTGTTGAAATTTGCATAAGGGCATCTGAAATCAAAGGAGAACTCAGCCATCAGCTGGATGTGTCTAAATGTGGATGTGATGTATGATACTGCATTGTATGATGCTGTGATGCATGATACTGGCCTAGATAGCTCTGGGTATCATAGGTAGCTTTACCACTAAGCAGATGCTGGCCATCAAATCTCAACTGGAGAGAACCAGTGAGAGCCTTATGTTTGTCCTTGGGTAAGATCTTAATCTAAATAAAAGTAACTACTTGTCACCTGCTTTGGTTTTATTTTAGTTGGGGCAGGGAGGGATTTTATCAATGTCAGTGCTTAGGGAATGTGAGTGCTTCAGGCTTTCTCTGTGGATTAAGCTACCAGTGCTGGATGTGAGCCTTTGCCACTGGCCTTTGCTTTAGGCAATGGGCTTCAGCTGAAGCTGTGATTGACGTAACGAGCTCGGAGCAATTTCCTTCCAAGGGATAAGGCAAAGATGCATGAGAATATACCTCACCATTTATTTTTTTGCTAGCTAAATTGTGTCTAGAGAGTGGACCAGTGTACTTATCATCAAATCCTGCATTAGTATTCCACTGTAAGCAGTATTTCCCAAACACTCCAGAGAGGATGATGAGGTAACAATGATCTAGGCTCTCGTCTTGTGTTGCCTTGGTTGTCTTCAGTAGGTAATACAATTTCTGAAGTATAGGGTCTCCAAAAAACCTAAACCAATAAAGCTGTTCTTGAAAACCCGGACAGACCAGTTAAGAATGAAGCACAGTATTGAACCCTCTTTTTCTGCTATCTTGAGGCATGGATTAACACTGTCAAAGGCGTGACCTTAGGCATTGTTTCTGAGCAAAGCATGATTTGGAAATTTCAGGGTAATAATTGATTTATTACTTAGGTGATGAAAATCTTAGTTTGTGATTGTTTCCATTCTTTTTAAGTGGTTGCTACATATAATTTGAGATCCAATTCACCAAACTGTTTAAGTGTGTGATGAAACATTGTAGTGAAGTCATCTGGATTTGACTTTTACTGAATTGGTGCCTTGCCCATCTAGCTCTTTTAAAAACTTATGTACACAGGATTAATTATTTCACTGTTGGCAGCTCTCACAAATTCTAGTGTGAGTTGTATGAACGACATTCAGTGTATTTCTTGAGGGTCCAGCCTCTATACTTACAACAAAGATTCTCTTAGTCCTCTTAGTCTTAAAGCTAACAGATTTTGTAGCCTGTAGGGGAAGGTCTGAATTGTCACAAATGCACCACAGAAACCAGTAAGTTTAAAACAGAATATTGGGGTTCTTTGCATTAAATTCCCTTGAATTCTGGGAGTCTTGTGTGGTTGCTGGCACTCGAGTGACTTTGATTGTAGTTGCATGTCTGTCCTGGGGTATTCTCATGGTAGAGTGGTAGCCTAAGTTCCCACTTTGCTAAACATTGTTCAGACTTCATCACCCCTTCTGAGAATCTCAACCAGAGCTGATGCCCAAGAAAGTGTCTGTAAAGATGCCGTTGGCCTGGTTCTTGTTCAGAGGATGATGCTCTCACAGACTGGGGGAGTGGTGTTTCTATTTTTGTTCTTTTTTCTTTTTAGTGGTCACCATTTCTATTTGGCTAGATGTGCTATTGGGACAGTCCCTCCCTAAACAAAGGCAGGACCGTTTCCTGGTTACTGGATGCTTAAATAGCCACAACTGTTTCAGACAGACAGGATTGTTCATGAGCAGATAAGGAATGTGGATCAAAATAAAATGCATTAGCACATCATAACCATCTACAATTATGACATGGAGAAGAAAAGTCAGAATTTAACTATGTTGGCTAGTTCTGGTTTATCTTGGTTCCAAAAAATCAGAGGTTGTCATCTGTTACTTCAGTTTTGTTTTGACTCTTTCCAGTACCTAAAGGGGGCCTAAATCTGGAGAGGGACTTTTCACAAGGGCATGTAGGGTTAGGCCAAGGTGGAATGGCTTTAAACTGAAAGAGTGAAGATTTAGATTAGATATAACAAAGAAGTTCTTCCCTGTGAAGGTGCTGAGGCCCTGGTGCAGGTTTCCCCTTTGTAGGCAGTACTGTCACTTAGTCTATTCTTCTACCAAAAAGCTTAAATTTTATTGTATATCACAAGAGTTGGACATGGGTTACCTCTAAAGCTCAAGCATTTACTCCTCATTTAATACACCGAAGAAGAAAAGAAGAATAAAGCTGCTGATAGCTCTGCTCATAAGGAGGAAATACATCCACCACACTGGATCAGTTAGTTTTGAGGAGCTTGTAGCAGCAATGGCTCAGTGAAGGTATGTGTCATAAGCCAGTGGGTCTTAGTTTAGCTGTGGTCTTGTACAGCAGGTTCAAAGGTATGTTGCAGGAGCACTTAATATAAGGAAAAAATCATCAGGTTATTAGACACAAATAGCTGGCCTCTTTTGGGAAGCCCTGTGGTCTCCTGACCACAACATGCAGGAATGTGAATGCTTGTCTTGTTTTACATACTCTTCCCTCAGCATCTGCTGCTGTCAGAGGCTAATGCAGATGGAGGTCTCTCATCTGCTCCTCTATCATCTTTGCAAACCCTATTCCATGGAATACTTCAGTAACCTCAGAGCACTTCCAGTTGTGTTTTTCCAGATGTTTAACTCTCCAAACTCCAGCACTGCCATGGAATACAAGACAGCTGATGATGTACGCAGAGCTGACTGTGTGCACTGGTATATCTGTATACAGCTGACTGTATACAGATACTTTGAGATTAAACCTGAAAGTTCACTGGCCAGTTCTTCTGTTTCAGTTGTAGCACTAAGCAAAAGCTGTTTGAGAGCAAGAAAAGTGTGTGTAATGATGCCCAGAGAACAGTCCAGGCTTAGAAATCTAGCTTAAGAAATCTTTCATGTAAAGAGCATTCTGGAAATTCTATGTATAGAGAAAGGAGGGAGAGACTGATATTGTGCCCCTTTAAAAATGTATGATAACTGTCTAAAAATTGTCAGCTCTGCTTACCTTAAATATCTTGTGCAGTAAATGGCATGATGCTGTCGGCTGGCTTGCTTTTGGCTCCTGGCTTATGGAACCTTTGACTTTAGCATCTAAATGCCTTCCATTTTCATGGGATTGATTTTTTAATTTTTTTTTTTTTTTTGCTTACTAAGCTTGTCCTCGAATAGGATTGTTAAACAATTTTTCCTGCTACTACAGAAACAGCTCCTTGTAAATGCTAACATTGAACTTCAGTGAAGAGGTGATCTTAGTCAGCAAAAATAGCCCTTTTAAAAGGATAGGCTTATCTCAATGGCAACTTAATACAGTCTCTCTGAATTATGTGCCTCTGCCAAAGCAAAATTAAATCTTTGGAGGTAAAATTCAATGTTAACTTCAGTTTCTTGCTCCTGCTCTCTGACAGCTATACATGATATGTGAATTGCACTGTTTTACATATCTCATAAGGCTAGCTCTAGTGTAACCAAGATAATTTCAGCTGATAGAATCACAGCTGCCTTAAGACACCTTTTTGATTTAATATTTGTGATCTTCTCTCCAAATAGCCTGCTTCTGTCACTTCTGCACTCCTGTATTGTGATCTGAATTTTTTATTCCATTAATCCCTGATGGTACAGGCACACTTCCCTTAAACCAGGCAAAACCTCCCCTAATGCATTGAATAGACCAAGCAAGTAATCCTGTTGTGAGCAACTTTCATATTTAATGCATCTCTGAAGGTCAGCAGGAGCAGCCGCCTGTCATCTTGCTGTTTTTGCTCTCTCTGAGGATGGGTACCTTGTGTTTGAACCCTTGCTTGTTACCTAGACAATCCCACTGAAACAGGCAGTGGGGTCATCTTGAAATTCATTATGTTTTTTTGCTATTTCTATCCTAGATCCACAGTCATTCACTTAATAAAGGGGACATAAAAAGGGTGAAGGGACTTCTGTGATAGCCGTAGATAGGAGGGGGATTTGTCTGTAAAGTGTGCTGTGTATGTATTGCAGCAGTGCAGGGTAGCCTCACACCAGCTGTAGCTGCACCAAGCACTGTATAGATATGTAGGAGCTTCTCACTTAAAGCATCAAGAAGCACAGAAAAGGGGAGAAATAATATATATGAATGGGTTATGATCTTACTGATGTGTGCCCTTCAAGTGTTAAAGGTTATGTGAGAGAGAGAAGGGAAAAAGATTTCCCCCCATGCCCTTTCTACATGCTCACAGGCCTTTCTGAAATGAATAAAACCTCCAAAGAAGCCACAGCTTACAGCTCAAAAGCGGAACCAGTGTGGTAATGCTTGCTACTTGATCCTGTGTGGGTGGCTCTTCTTAACCAGTGGCACTCACTGCCTTTATGTGTTGTTCAGGAGCTTTGTGTAACATCTGAGCTTGAGCTCCAAAATGAATAACAGGAGCTTGTTGGAAGCAGAGTTATTTGTTGTTGTTTAGAACTTGTGGGTTTAGTGCTTACTGCTACTGAATCTGGGTGTTCCTGCTGTCCTGGGAGCAGATAGCTTAGACCTGGTTCTGCTGTTGGAGAACGCAGAACAATACTCTTAAATACATTCTTCTCCATCAAAGTTTTGGGTCATTGGCTTCTTGATGGCTGGGATTAACATCTTAATTTGGTTAGTCTTTAAATGTGGGTCTTACCTATGATACCTGTTGTCATCTGGAGCTATGACCTCTCATAGTCTATAAAATGTTCATGAACAGTTTTGAGTTTAGTTCTGAAGATCTAGTAGTTGTCTGTAATAATCCCTGAGGGACTGAACAAACATGGCATGCCCAATTTGTACTGGGGGCAGCTGGATAAAAACTGGTGCTGCAGTTTAAAAGGGCTGATGAGAAGTAATACATATGTTATGTTGGATATCAGTACTTGGCTTTTGCTGGTCCCTCCTTAGAAAAATACTTGTTTTCATAGAGTCAACTAGGTTGAAAAAGACCTGTAATATCATCAAGTCCAACCATTTGAATAGTTTTCCATCTGAACATCACCTTAAGTCATGGGATGAAATCCAAAATCAGTGGGAATTTTTTGTGAGTTTGAGATGTTAAGTTTTTCTCTGATAGTTTTGCCTTCTGAAATACATACTTATGTATTTCTGTGTGTAGCATTACAGAGGCACCAGTATCTCCACTGATTGTGTTGCAGTCTAAAAACGATGTATGTTTTCTTGTGTGTGTGTTTGCATGCAGCTGTTCAGTGCCACGGAGTTTGTTGCAGATGGAGCTGTGGTTGCAGGATATGTTCTTGATTCAGGCTGCTCTTTTCCAGTGTAGCTTTCAGCAGCACAGGTTTTTGGTTTGAGCCTGTATGTGGCAACCAGAGGTACAGCAGCTACTGCAGTGCTTTCATGTCTGCCTGGCTTGGGATTCTGAAAACCAGGACCAAGAGTATGTTTCTACCCCTGTGGCATTATTAAAGGCTGTTATCCTGAAGATGGATTTTATCTATTATTAATGTTATTAATAGAAGAAAGGAAGAATGTTCTTTTTATATAAAGGCAAGGCTAAATTATAATCATTAGACCTAATGTTCATCAGAAAAGCTATCAGATGCTTTTATTGTGGCGATCCAGTGCTCTGTTTATGTGGGTTGTGCTCCCATGTTTAGCTACATTGTGTGGGAGCCTTCCCACACGACACATGCTGGTGCTACGGCATAGATGAGGGAGTGTTTGTATGTACCTCTGGTAATGTCATAGCCTTCTCCTGGGAGGAAAGGATCAGTGGGATGGAATTGTTGCTCAGTATTGGCAGATGTTATCTCTCTGCTATGAAACACTAATCAGCTTACCGGGAGGCTCTGGTTTCTCAGCCTTCAGCTGACAGGTAGGGAGGAAGGAGAAGTAATCCGATTGAATTGGAAATGCAGACTTGACTTTGCTTCTCATGTCACCTCTTGAACCCTAATAAAGGGAGAAGCGCTTGGGAAGCAGGACCATCTCATTTCATTTGGAAAGTGTCAGGGTAATGGTATCAACTTCCCAGCATATAACGTGGTACTTCAGAACCAGCTTCTGCTTCCTGGTCACAAGCAGGGTGAGTGAAAAGATGGATTGTTAAAGAACAAGGCAATTTCTTGTTGCAAGGGAAGTCTTAATGTATGGAAAAGAGAAAGTAACTAGGTCCTACTTTTCACACACCCCATGTTTGTGCTGTTAGTGCAAAAGGGTGACTTTTGTCTTTGTGATACTTAGAGAATGAAGCAAGAAATTCTGCCAGAGTGTTTTGGGAGATGATAACAATTCAGAAAGGTACTACAGAACTGAGCACTAGGATACCTTGAACTGGGAGCTTTTGCTCCAGTAAGCACTGGTGTGCATCTCTTCCATTAAGCATCTTCCAAATGTACAAGCACTGTTTCTTCATGGCTGAGTGAAATAAAAGCTCTGTAGCCTTAAAATGCAATTTTGCTGTGTAACATGATGGTGCAAAAATGGCACCAAGTTCTGTTCGTGGATCTTTCACCAGGAGCAGTTGGCATAGAGCTGCTTCAGTAACACACAAGTTAACTACAGCAGTGTTAGGAAATGAACTGGATTCTATTTCACTCATGTGATCAAATAAATAGAGTACTTGTCAAAAAAGCCAATAAAAGATGAAGACATTTGAACTGGGTCAGTTGGTATCTCAGCTGATGGGATTTTATTGCTCTTAATGATGTGTCTTAATGGGAAACACAAACCCAATTTGTAGGATGCGTATGTATGTGTGGTCTGTGCTTGTAACTGAGAGACATCTGGTTTGGAAACACATGAGATGGGGTACAGAACCTTGCTATGCTGGATTTTTAAAGAAACCTTCTAGAATAAGACCAGTTCTTCTAAAAGGTGCCCATAGGTGGTAGGTGTGCTTCAGAACATAAAGATATGCCCTTTATTAACTTGTGTGGGATCTGTTTTCATTACTTATTTTACACTCCTTTCCAAGTACTTTAAAACCAGATTTAAATGTAACACCGTTTTCATCTCTCTGTTTTCAGAAATGAATAAAGTTAGCAGCCCTACATAATATGCTGATGGCATTCTGCGCTGCATCGGGATCGATACATGAAGAGAGTGTGATGCCTGGAAATCTCCTCTCTGATTCTCCTGAAATGGCATCTGAAGGCTCTCCAAAGCACACACGTGGGAGCATGGAGAGGGGTGGCAGTGCAGAGAATCGTGGCAGCCAAGCTAAGGGCAGAAATCTTGCCTTGGTAAGTGTTTAATGAGCCTTATGCTGAGTGATATAAATTACATTAGTAGCTTTGTTTACATCACAGGATTATTTGTGTTATTTAAGCATTGATTTTTGCCATTTCTGGTCCTAAATGGTTACTTGTGGTCTTAGTTATTAGCAAACTTTAAGGCCAGAAATTACTATCCTGATTTGGTACAACAGCTTGTTATTCTGATCTGATTGTGTCTGAGAGCTTGGAGAGTGCTTCTCTCTGACCATTCCTGCCAGAGAACCAGAGATGGTGGTAAGGAGCACACATTAGGTTGGGCTCCTTGGTCCGCCCACCACCGATACATCTGCCCTCACTTTAAATAGCTTGTAAAGGAACTTAAGGATAGTGTTTCATGCTTAAGCTTTTTGTTGACACTACTGAATGACAGTCTCAGCTTATTCCACCTTCATGTAATTAGCTGACTAACAAGTACATCACCATAAACAAAGGTGTCTTCACATAAGTGAATATGAGTGTGTGGCCATTTAAATAGTATGTGAGTAATTGAGGGAGTAGGATGCACTGCTGCATTTTTTTTGAATGATCAGGATGATTCAGGCAATGAACCCAGCAGTACTGTTTGTACTGTGACAGGCTAAGCCTAGAAAGCAGCTATGGTTCCTTGTATATGGTTTTTATCATTGCAACCATTTGATAAACATTCATTTTTAATTGAGGAATCTGGTAAACTTGAATCCTCTTAATGTGAAATTAGGCTTTTCATGTCTTTGTCCTCCCTGATAGCTTCCTTGGAGTGAATTTTTCTGTGAAAGAATACATGGTAAAAATAAGTTAGCAAGTTGATACCTGTATTTATCTATATACCTCAGTGGTTTTGTGCTACTTCATGAGCTTTTTGGTAACTAGAGGTAATTCTAAAGATAATTCTTTTTTGTTGTTTCTAATGAAAATACATCTCTTACTACCGTGCTTGTATCCTTCAGCTTGTGCTGCTAGTTAAAACACAAAATGAGTATTACTAAATGTAGTCCCTTAACTGCTTCTGATCTGTGCTAGAAAAATGTTGTGGGGGAGCCCAGTGTTTCATTTGGGCTTAGGTATTTAGAGCATGATGTTTATTGTATGAAAATTGTTTGGATCTTGGAGAATTACAGTGGGAGTTACACTTAGTTAAAGGATTACACCTTCATTTGATGCAGAATTATAAGTTAATTGTATGCATTGCTCTGACTCCAGTTTTTCAGGTTATCAAATCATGTTTTCATGCAGTTTATTCTTAGCTGCAGTAGCAGGTGTGAGACTGGCCACTTGAGAGAATCATTGTTAAGTAATGAGGCTATGTATAAATCAGTGTGTTTGTCCAGCCTCACCTTGAGTCTGCTGTGTCAGAAAATGACATAGATTCCCTTAGTCTAAGTAGATAGCATCATGTGATAACCCAGATGATGATGCATCAGCTAGAATTGGAATCCCTTCCTGCTCTGTAATGTTGTAATTTATAGATGGAGTAAAAGCTGGCTTCAGGTTTAGGCAATTCCCATCAGACCTATGCATCAGCAAAAGAAATTCCAGAAGCCTTTAGTCTGTCTTGTTTGAGTTCATGCATGAAGAAAGTGAAGCATGTACCAATGATTTTAATTCTGGTGCCACAGATTCCCTTCCATGACTGTTCTTCTGGCACGTTCTAGACTGATATGGCTGACAGCTAGCAGGCATGGAATAACAGGTTAGGGAATGGAAATGCCTTTCAATAAAAGCATAATTTCAATTTGAGTTTGAGGCTGGGTTTGAACTGAGTGTGAAGGAAACTGTCAATTGTGATTGAGTAAATAGTAGTTAAGTCTTCAGTGCTGCTCACATCTTTCGTTTTTGTGATCTGATGGAAGGATTGTTCCTATGCCTGACAGCTTTTGTCTGTTCAGTACTGAAACAGGCTTTAGAAATCCTCAGGATAAAAAGCAGTTTTCTTCAAATATTTTCTATATCCTTACGCAATTATCTATTAGAAGCATGGGGTTTATAGCTCTCATGGGGATCGGGGGATTTGTAAGAGGAAAAGCTCGTTGCTGGAACATGCTCCTGGAGACCTTAACTTCCTGTTTCAGTAGTTTTGTTGTAAAAGCTCAGAAGATGCAGCAGCTTTGGCCTAATGAGAAGGCAGGGATAGGTAACTGTAGACAAATGATCTCATATTGGACCAATTCTGAGGAAGGAAGGGGCAGATTTTTGGATGCGCAAGTTGGAAATGGAAGTAATTGCAGACTTACCTTTCTCTTAATGTATCACTTTTCTGTGTTGGTGCACCTAGAGACGCAGCAAGGAAGGTCAGAGTTGTCTAATTTACGATTCTAATTTAGAATTAAGTTTAATTCATAATTTTCATTTGTTTTAGTATTTTTAATGGCCATACAAAGGAGAGAAGTATAGCAGTGTGGTTTTTATGACAGGCCTGTACAGCTGTAGGTTTCTTCCTACTTGATTACAAGAAAGAGCCACTAAGCTTCTTGGTGTCAAACTACACTAGTCACTAAATATAACCTTTGTATTGCATCTGTGGAATTCAAACCTAGGGATGTGATAATAGAGACAAACACTTGGACCAACTTTAGACTAAGCTGGCTGCTCAGAGCTGTTTTGGCTGACTGTTGGCTGTCCTTGCATACTCTGTGTCTGTGCTGGCATTGTTTGCTGTGGAACTGGTTGTCAGTTTAGGGATGATGGACGTGAATTGCTGTGTGCCAAAAAGGTTTTAAAATTCCATGCAAGTGATTCCTACCACTCAGCTGTTGTCAGTTCAGTTTAATCTTGGCACGTCTCAGCTTCTTACCTGCACAGGGGTGCTTTTAGTTAATCTTTGACAATTGCAGTCCTTAAAGCCAAATGTATTTATTTTTAAATGGAAAGCAAGGTGCTGATGTCCTGTCTTCATTGCAGTAGAATTTTCCATATAAATGATAGATGTTTGGGTCTGGATTTATGCTGCCAAATCTACTGCAGCAGCTGAAGACAAGAGCTTACTTTTAGATGGGAGGAATGCTGGCCTTTATTTTAATCTCACACCAACTTCTATAACCATAAAAGCTCTTGTATATTAAGACGTTAATTTGAACATATATTCTATTGGTTGGGGTTTTTTTTTTACTGAAGGTGGTATCCATAGACATGCTTGACAAAAGCATGTGACAGTTGTACCTTCCTGATACATGCAACCAGTTGTGCTATCCAGAGAGAAGGGAAAAACCCCAACTCTGCTCTCCTTGGCAATTCTGACTGCCGAAACCCACTCTTGAATAACACTCCTTGATATGTGATGTGAGAATTAACTTGCAGTGAAATACAGTTGCAGCAATTTAAGGACACTTAATTCAGAGATAAAACTAGGTCTTCGGGGTTTTAGAAGCAATTTGACTTGTTCCATTGACTAATAAGCACAGACCAACTTCCTAAAACCAGTCCTTCTTTTTCAGTGCTTCACTCTGGTAATTGTACTGTATATCTACTCTTAGCCATGAGTAACTGCTTTGGTTTCTGGGTGTGAATAAGATGCTAGGACAATAGTATTGCCTGTGAAATCATAGCAGACAGTGGTGGTTGTACCTGAAGTGAGCTGTGCTATTTAGAATAAGCTGTATCAGTGCCTTGGATCTGTTGATATGACTTCAGTATTATACCTTCTGTATGTGAACTTGTTTTATTGAGTCGTAGGTTTGAGAGATGGTGAGTTCTTGTTCTCAATGGATCATGCTGTGGTGATACTGATTTCATTTTTGTCCCTGGTTCAGACAGATCCTCAGTTAACACCAGAGTTCATCACCACTCTTTTTGGGGTAATGGTGACCCCCAGAATTTGGTCAAATGTCTCTTTTGTGGCTTAAATAGGCAGATACCTATGGTTCTAAATAGATGTTGCTTATTTTGTTTGCTATTTCTTCAAACAAGCTTTCTTTGTGACTCTAAGACTTGACACATAGTCACTGAAGATGGTTTGTCCCTACCAGGCACCTTCAGGTGACATGCTGAACACTGGTTACATAGACAGGAAAAGCAAGTATCTTGTAAGTAGTCTGAACTGGCTCAGTAGCTTATTTCACACACTCAGCCATTTAACTGAGGGTTGTCCTGGTTATTTTGTAGTTATGATGTTTCTTGGAGCCTAAAAATTACAGTTGCTATGGCCTTTATCTGTTTTTTTTTTGATCAGTACAGCTAATTCAAATGCAACAGACCTGTCTTTTAAGTGCATTATATTGCTCTCTTTGCCCCAGCCTCTCTGAAGAGGTCCTGGGATTCTAGTGTGGTTTTAGGAGCTACTGGGAAAGGCCGTCTTGTCTGTTAGCCCACTGTCACTTTTTCTGTCATAATTTGAGTGTGCAGAGTCTTGTGATGCTGAGCTGCACTTTAGGTACAGTAAAGGGAAAGTCCTGAGATACCCCTTTGATAAATTAATGTGTTTTCCCCTTGATATTGATATTCTGCAGGCTTTACTGTACTACAGATCTTTCACCATGCCTAAGGACCTTGCCAAATAACAATACACACAAAAATGAGAAGAATTTTTGACTGTTTGCTATTTTCTATGGATACAGCTGTCTTTGGGCAGGTGGAAGCCATTCCTTACAGGGTGTGGAGGGTGCTGTGCTATGTTTTACCCACTTGAAGTTGATATTGGTATGACTTGGAAGCAGTATGCCTTGGCAAAAATACGAGTCATTGTTCCTACCAGCAGTAGAGAGGAATTGGGGCTGGAGGACCGCTTGCTTTGGACCGTAAGTGTGGAAGTAGGGTAAAGAGCCTAGGAATGACCTTGCTGTGAAACGTGTTGGTGAGAATATAGATCCTGAAGGCAATTTACTCTGTGCACAAGCTGCATCCTTCTGTTTCAAAGCAGGATGTGGCAGGTGAAGATTGTTCCAGCAGGTGGGCAGCTCTGCTCTGAAACCCTCACTGATAAGTGATCCTGAACTCCCAAGGTGGTTTCTTTGTACTTCGCTCCTTTTCAAGGAATACTTAGATTAGGGTTTCTA